TTCTGAAAGGGCTAGCAATCTGACGGATAGTCTGGTTATTTGATGTGTAATTATTAGCTCTGATAAAAACAGATTCCATCTGTGATATAATGTCAGAATTTGTTTCCAATTAGATAAAAAAAAGGTTTAAAGATGAAATATAAAACATTTTTGGTTTAAAACTTGTGGTGATACCTTCAAAATTTTTTTGTTGTACTTTAAGATTTCTTTGCATATCATCCAGCACCCTGTCATTGGAAATTATCAACCAAATGTTTCATGGTCTTCCATTCATCCTAACAGATAGCTCGATGATTTTGACAGCAAGCGACTTGCAACAGATAACTGCACCTTACCCTATCAGCACCTGTGGGGGGTTCTTCCACAACTGAGGTCAACAAAGGTCATTGTGTCTACTGTAGGCATAATTTGAAAACGATCTGTCTGTGTACGTGGAAGATAACTAGACTGATAAGTTTTCATGGTGGAGAGTTCCAAACTTCACTTCAGAATACAGAGGAATGTTCTTGTAGTGAAAGTGATACCGGACTAATCATGGAAATATCTTAAAATATCACAGTAATGTTTGAGCTTATCAGCGAGGGATCAGTGATGTCATTTGATAAAAAATATAATGTATGATGCACTGATCACGAACTAGTGAAAACATATATTATCAATGTGTGTTTTATCTTCACCAAGGGAGATAATTTGGATTACCATTTGTGCTATATTGACATATGATAATGTTTCATGATTAACTATTCATGGATTTACTGGAAAACAATTTTCTGTAAAACTTTTTTTTGTGGAAATTGATAAATTCTCAATTTCAATTAACATTTGATGAGAGGAATCACATCTTAATCACCAAGACAACAATGTATTACAATAACTACAGTCGCTATGGATCGTCAGAAAGTCAGTTTTGTTTTGACGACTATGGACCACATCCTCAACTCAGACGAACGGACTCAACAAACCAACACAAGAAAAAAACATCAAAATCAAAGGTTTGTTCCAATCTGTCAATGCGTTTCCATGGTAAGATATTGTTTGCACTGACAGAAGGAAAGTCCTGTTGGACACTTCATATACAAAACTTTGTTATGCTTCACGAGGGGAGAGCATATAGTCGCCACCATGTCTATCCATCTGTCCATTTTTCTGTTGTCATAATTTTGTCCAGATTATAACACAAAAGTAAAAGAGGTATAAACATAAAACTTCATAGGCAGATAAATCTCAACAAAACCATCAGGCTCTTTTTCAAAATTTAGCAGTTACTGCCCTTTGTTAATTTTCATACTTTTTAAAGTTTGTCCCAAGCATTACGCTAAAACTATAAGAGATATCAATGTGAAACTACACAGGTAGATAGGTCTTAAGGAGTAGGAGGGCAGTGCACTAGAATCCTTTGCTGACCTACTGTCTTGTTCACAGGGGTCAAATGTAGTCAGGGCAGTTTAGAGATGATCATATCTGTATTGATTTTTCATAATTGTGTGTTGAGTTATTTTTGCTTTAATTTGAGAATTTAACATTTTCCGGTCCTGTCAATCCAAACAGAATTATTCTCCAGTGTGAGATCTGAACATTCCCTATTGGCTTGAAATTAAATTAACCATATTAAATAACTTAATTGTTAATATAACACATCTCCACCATGCATATGTAATTGGTTGTCCATTTCAATGCTATCAATTTTGACTTATAATAATTTGTTTCATGTCAATCCTTCCAATTTTCTGACTTATCAGGTTTTCTGCTTTGTCAATACATGTAAAGAAAACACCAGTAATTTGTGAATGTGTTTTGATACTGACAGCAATGTTAGGACAAACTACTACTGACTGACGAACAGTAGCAACATTCTATGAGGAGGGCAGTTCGGTATTGTCCACTGTTAGGGGTAACTACAACTGTCTGACGAACAATAGCAACATTCTATGAGGAGAGTGGTTCGGTAATGTCCACTGTTAGGACAAACTACTACTGACTGATGAACAATAGCAACATTCCATGAGGAGGGTGGTTCGATATTGTCCACTGTTCGGACAAACTACAACTGTCTGATGAACAATAGCAACATTCTATGAGGAGGGCAGTTCGGTATTGTCCACTGTTAGGGGTAACTACAACTGTGTGAACAATAGCAACATTCTATGAGGAGGGCAGTTCGGTATTGTCCACTGTTAGGGGTAACTACAACTGTGTGACGAACAATAGCAACATTCTATGAGGAGGGTGGTTCGGTATTGTCCACTGTTAGGACAAACTACAACTGACCGATGAACAATAGCAACATTCTATGAGGAGGGCGGTTCGATATTGTCCACAGATATCTTGCTGTGTTGTCTTGTTATGATACTTCACTAAGACAATTGTGCTATAAATCCATTGAAATATCAATACAATTGAATTTTTAAAAATATTTCCATTAAATTGAGTAAAGTATGGGCTCAATCTTTATTGCATATGGTTGTGTTTTCCTTCTAGTGGTAATAGAAATTGGTGTGAATTTTTTCAGTTATTGCCCTTTGTCTTTGTGTCTCTCAATTTTCAAATGATCTTGTGTAAAGATGTTAGCCTCTATTAGAAGAAAGTAAACATTTTGCTATCTTAAAAGCTTGTTAATTAGACAATAATGTTTCATTTCCACACTTTGATGTAATTTGATTCAGTTATATTTCATCACATAAGTATGCAAGGAAAGACCACATTGTCCTGTATAATCTGAAGACAACATTTTACATCCCACAGAAATAGTAAACATAGACCTACAAATACTACTGACTTTGAATTATGGTACTATGATACAAAAAACGATGTTTGGGCCAGTCTATACTAAAATGGAGAGTTTTTATACTGTCTCTGTTTAAACCATCATCCAGATCTAACAGAGAAAGTTTCCCACATCAAGGAGCAGTCCATAGTGTTTTAACACACGAGGGGTAGAAGGAAACAAGCTGATATCTACTCCAGAATCTGATAATACCAGACTCTGTGCTGTTGGTCTGTGGCCATATGTAATTGCTGGCTTCTACTATTTTTTTAAGATACTAATTGGGTGTGTTCATGTTGGAATGGAGGATCTCGATGTTAAAACTTATTCAGAAATCCAGGCTCTACCATCAAATAAACATTAGACTTACTTAAGAAAAGGTAACATCCTAGTTTTTACATTGTGGTTGCCATAGCAATGCTGCTATCTTGCAATGTATTAAATATATTTATTTACAGGTGTTCAACACATTAACAGAACCTAGCAACAGAAAAACTTTGTAAAGCAGAGTTTTTACGGTTTATTGTTACATAGCACATTCAAACAATCGGGTATTGAACTTTTTGAATTTAAAAGAAAACGACTTGCAAAATTTATATATGTGAAAGCTACATATGGAACTGTTTCTTTTTTTCTCACAAGTTTGCAAGATAACAAATTCTAAATTACAAGTTGGAATGGTGCCATCTCTCTTGAAAGGGAAGGGAAGTATTCCATAGGCCATTTTGCTTGATACATGAGGTGAATGCACTGGCTCATGGGAAATTCCATGAGATAACTTTTAAGTTTTGGAGGTGAGTTGTTGGGAGTATTTATGACTGTACCAGGATGAACATTCTCGGGATATTTTGTTATCTTTGATATAAATTATCTTGTGTTTGATTTTTGAGCTGCTGGGCCATATATATATTGAAATGTATTAATTAGAAAGTTTATGGTAAGTTGATGTTTTCTGGAGGAATTTATGACTAGAAACAGACCGGGGGAGCAATTATCAGGTTTGTACTTGTCATAAAGTTATATTGACTTATGTATGTAATTTAAAATCATCATTTAATTTTTGTATACAGGGTCTTGCGATGGGAAAGACCTTGAGAATGTGTTAGCTCACGGTGTTTGATGATTTGTATAGAAGAATCCTTTTTTGTGAAAATGTATTAGAATGTATCAGTGATAAATCATTGATTATGACAGACTCATCATAACAGCTGTTTTAACTTTTTTTAGGCTTATATATTATCTAAATAATAGATAGTTATATATTTTAAAAATCAACAATGTCATGCAATATGTTGACAACATGATTTTGTGTGTAACAGAAATGCTTGCTGTTAGTGAAAATGAAAAATATGGATTTACATCAAAAAGTTCTAGTAATATAACAGACGAACATCTTCTTTGTCATTTCAGTCAACTTTAAATATTATGCTGAGACAGTTCAAGTGTTAATTATGTACTTACCTATATATAAATGTTTTTAATACTGTACTTATCCAACACTAAGCTGAGGCCTGGTAAAAATCACACCTGTATAATGTGCTCTTTAGATCTATTAGTGTATATTAAATTTTTCACATTTAGTGACCCTTTCAAAATCGAAAAAATTTAAAATTGGAAAATTTGCATATTTTCTGCTTTTTATTGCAAACAGATGAGTAACTTATCTATTAAAATAACGTACCTACATGGACGTGAACACTTTCTAGCAGTGACTTCTGTAATAAGTAAATACTTGTCAGTATGTCAGTCTTTTATCTCGTGTGACTGGTCAGTTAGATGTCCAGTTCTCCAGTTGATGTTAGACTCTACACTTGAGTATATGTAAGCTGTAGTTCAAATTATTCTAATGTTAAAACAACATTTTTTATATCAGCCTTGACTCAATGCCAGACCAATACAAAAAGTCAATAGAATGTCAGAATTATTTGTGCTATGTAAACTGATGCCAGTTCTGAAATATTCAAAGTTTTCAAAAGAAGCCCTTCAAATTTCTGACACGATCAAATTGCAAAATAATGAAATGACAAAAAAAAGTGAAAGGTACACTTAAGGCATTTTCTTAAAAAATTGCACATCACAAAAATATCGTAATATTATGTAGCTGTATTGTAAGGCAGTAAACATGGTATTCTGTCGCAACAAGAATCTTACTATTTACTGTAACTGATGTTTTATTAATTATGCTACATATCTTTAGACAGGTGTTTATGTGTTTCTAACCTTTCTGTATTTTCAGAGTCAGGCAATGCGAATTGTCCGCACAATTGGCCAGGCTTTCGAGGTTTGTCACAAGTTAACGATCCATCATGCTGCCCAAACCACAGATCCAGAACGTAGCAGCCATTTCTCGGATGATTTAGAAGCAGGAGATTCAAAACTAGGTAAATTTAATTATTTGGTATATAAAGCATGATGTTAGTTCTTACCTTTATAAAGTCTCCATGTGTGATAATGACAGGGTCAGGTTAGTACTTGTACAGTCTCTATGTGTGATAAAGACAGGGTCAGGTTAGTACTTATACAGTCTCCATGTGTGTTATTGACAGGGTCAGGTTAGTACTTATACAGTCTCCATGTGTGATAAAGACAGGGTCAGGTTAGTACTTATACAGTCTCTATATGTGATAAAGACATGGTCAGGTTAGTACTTATACAGTCTCTATGTGTGATAAAGACAGGGTCAGATTAGTACTTATACTGTCTCCATGTGTGATAAAGACATGGTCAGGTTAGTACTTATACAGTCTCTATGTGTGATAAAGACAGGGTCAGATTAGTACTTATACAGTCTCCATGTGTGATAAAGACAGGGTCAGGTTAGTACTTATACAGTCTCCATGTGTGATAAAGACAGGGTCAGGTTAGTACTTATACAGTCTCCATGTGTGATAAAGACATGGTCAGGTTAGTACTTATACAGTCTCCATGTGTGATAAAGACATGGTCAGGTTAGTACTTATACAGTCTCCATGTGTGATAAAGACAGGGTCAGGTTAGTACTTATACAGTCTCCATGTGTGATAAAGACAGGGTCAGGTTAGTACTTGTACAGTCTCCATGTGTGATAAAGACAGGGTCAGGTTAGTACTTGTACAGTCTCCATGTGTGATAAAGACAGGGACAGGTTAGTACTTATACAGTCTCCATGTGTGATAAAGACAGGGTCAGGTTAGTACTTATACAGTCTCCATGTGTGATAAAGACAGGGTCAGGTTAGTACTTATACAGTCTCCATGTGTGATAAAGACAGGGTCAGGTTAGTACTTATACAGTCTCCATGTGTGATAAAGACAGGGTCAGGTTAGTACTTATACAGTCTCCATGTGTGATAAAGACAGGGTCAGGTTAGTACTTATACAGTCTCCATGTGTGATAAAGACAGGGTCAGGTTAGTACTTATACAGTCTCCATGTGTGATAAAGACAGGGTCAGGTCAGGCCATAGGAAAGATAATTAGTTTCTCTGGAAAGATTGTAACTCTTTGTATGAAAAACATTTTAGATTGATTTGATATTTTTCATTTGAGAGGTGAAAGAAATGTCACCTGCCTACTGAATTCCCAAGGTATTAGGAATAAGAACAGCTGTTTGTGTTACAAATTTACAAACCCAATGGCAATTAAATGAACAGTTCTTGCTAAGGTTTAGGACATCTTCATTGTTCTGTTGACAAATTAATAAATCATTTTAGTTCCCAGTGTATCATTCAGTCACCTTCCTTCCCACTTGATAATCCAATTACTTTTCTTCCCTTGAGCTGATAATGCAGTCACCTCAGTTCACGGTAAATAGCCTGTCAACTCAATTTCCAGTAGATGGTCATATTTGTTCTCAGTAGATAATCTAGACACCTTCATTTCAAGAAAACCTTGCCTCATCCCAGATAACTCTGACTGACCATTTCATTTTACTGAGACTGACACTAACTAACTAATACAAATTGAACATTATGACCAGGTGGTGTACCAAAACAAGGTCACACTTGCTTCCTCTTCGTATTGTATTGTATCAGTTGTGGGACATGTAAATCCATAAAGCTCCATCCCTGAATTAATCCTGTTTTAATATACATGTATAATTTAAATATACCAGGTATTTGTATTTTGATACAGACCTATAATTGTTTTCTTATAATACATACTGACCCTAAGAACAAATTATTTCAAGTACATTGGGGTCACATGTGTTTAAAATTTTACCTGAAACTTCTTATTAACTACATGTAGAAAGCATGTACAGTTGTACACAGAGCCACAACTTATGGCAAGTAATATACTTAAATGAAAAAAAACTATTAAAATCTTTGAAACATTTTCTCTGGATTGGACAAAGAGCTCTCAAGATTTTTCAAATGAACCATCTTTCAAGGTTACAGAAAATCTTTGTCTGAATAATTAAGAAACATAAAAATGATACTAGCATTCATGGAGAAAGTGCTATTATGTATTAAAATAGAAATCCTTGACCTACATTCAAGGTAATGGGGTCAAATGAGAAAATTAACAGGCCTTTTAAGTCTCTTGTTATACTTCAATAGTGAAAGACAAGAAGGACGCTAAAGACGAGAAGAAACACCTTACCACGGGCAACAGTCCATTGAAGGGCGAGGGCAAGGTCATACCCCCGGCTGAACTTGCCCTCCAACAAGCTCAGGACCTACTTATCACTATGGCAGCAAAGTCACCAGTAAGTACATTCAGTAGTCAGTTTAGTGAATTTAAGTTATTCAGAGAGTGTTGAATTCACAACCTATACCAGTGAAAATAGTAAATGAATATAAAACAGTTTAAATGTCAATATCTTTGTTATGTTTAATTGTTAAAGTCTCCGACATTAGATCTCTAGTTTTCACAAAATACTTCAATCAGTGGAATGGACTGAGATACAATTGTGGGGTACATGTATGTAGGACACTAAATTCAATAACAAAATTTACATCAAAAGAATGTAATTAACATTTGTGTGAGAAAGTTAACAACTGATTTAGTATTCACAGTTCAATGTTACACAGTTATCTATGCTATAAAGTGCCAGGATCAGTCGTCATTACAATGCTCCTGTTATCACCAACTGTAACATCGATAATACTGTTGTTGAAGGTAATCAGAATTTAGAACATCAACATATAAACAGGTAGGGATTTTATCAATGAGATGAACTCACTAACAAGAAAGTAAATACTATCCTAACGATATTTCTCGTGTGATAGAATTTGGTTTGTAATGGAAATTATGTGTTCCAATCATTTTAGTGACTTGTACATAGCTGATCTATCAAACTATGTCATGGATCCCTAAACCTTTGTGACACGTTTTCAAATGATGTGCTTGATTTTTGTTACAATCTACATACTGTATATACAGAGTTTGATAAGATTATTGTCCTCACCTGTGCTTTTCTATATAAAATTCATCTTACAAACATCCAAACCATTAATATGTATTGGAATCAAACAAAATATTAGATTAAATATGCATTAAGCTGTCATTGACTAATGAAGGGTGAACAAAGATCCACAACTTGTTTAGCTAATGAAGCCATTTAATTCAGGAGTTGATTGGGGAGGACCATTAGAACAAACTCTGTTGATAACACGGCTGGTCGGTGGTAGATCTGTAGCATGATTAAGGTCAAATTGATGCTAATGGCTGCCAACTATGATCTCTACATTTCTCCAGGAAATCTCAATCACCCCTCATTACAGTTATACATCTCCATCAGGACTGTTGCCATGACAACATGACAAGTGGTTGCCATTCAAATCCTTTTTGTCAATGTGAAATCTTTATAAAGACAAGACTAATTTGATTTTGATAGTTATACATGTACTCTATTAACATTACAACACTTTTGTAACAGGCCAATTTACATTGTAAGTTTAACAATTGACCAGAAACGAAATTAACTAAATTTGGCAAGGATAGAAAAAAGAAAAATTGAGAATCTGATTGCACTGATCTGAAGAAAAATCATTTAAGGGATCAGTTTAAGTCTGAAGAATTTCCTGTTGTGGAAGATTGAAACGAAGCCATTTCTGTGAAATACAATTAAATGATGACCATTCTTACTCGATGTCAGAACCATGCCGGGAAGGATCAGACAAGATTTGTGAGGGTATTGGTAACTCTTGGGTTGGCTAGACAGTGTAATTGTTTACAGACATTTTGATAGCAATTCATCGAGGTGGACTAGTGGAGCAAACTCAATATTTACAGAAGATGAAATTCAATTGAAAAACATGAAAGGTTTCTGAGGTAAGGGGTTATGAGGGGACGGAAGTTGAGGGGTACTGTAAAGGTAGGCAGTTGGGTACTGTATTTCAGGATACTTTTGTGCTTTGCAATTTTGTAGAAATCCCTGAAAGATACATTTTGCAAATTTTGTGTATTTCATTTTTTTGTGATTTCATCATCTCAGGAAATTGAAAGGCCACTTTTGAAGACCTTGAATACATTAGGATGGACATAGCTTACATATACACCAGTGTAGATTCTAACATCGTCAGGAGATCTGATGAACAGTGATACTAGATAACTGATTTAAATGTCAAGTAGTGTTTATTTATCATAGAAGTGTTCATGACTAGAAAGTGTTCATGTAGGTACCTCAGCTCTATAGATGTATTACATGACTAGAAAGTGTTCAGGTTCATGTAGGTACCTCAGCTCTATAGATATATTACAGGACTAGAAAGTGTTCATGTAGGTACCTCAGCTCTATAGAAATATATTACTATAGATGTATTACATGACTAGAAAGTGTTCATGTAGGTACCTCAGCTCTATAGATATATTACACGACTAGAAAGTGTTCATGTAGGTACCTCAGCTCTATAGATGTATTACACGACTAGAAAGTGTTCATGTAAGTACCTCAGCTCTATAGATGTATTACATGACTAGAAAGTGTTCATGTAGGTACCTCAGCTCTATAGATATATTACACGACTAGAAAGTGTTCATGTAGGTACCTCAGCTCTATAGATGTATTACATGACTAGAAAGTGTTCATGTAGGTACCTCAGCTCTATAAATATATTACATGACTAGAAAGTGTTCATGTAGGTACCTCAGCTCTATAGATATATTACATGACTAGAAAGTGTTCAGGTTCATGTAGGTACCTCAGCTCTATAGATGTATTACATGACTAGAAAGTGTTCAGGTTCATGTAGGTACCTCAGCTCTATAGATATATTACATGACTAGAAAGTGTACAGATACATGTAGGTACCTCAGCTCTATAGATATATTACACGACTAGAAAGTGTTCATGTAGGTACCTCAGCTCTATAGATATATTACACGACTAGAAAGTGTTCATGTAGGTACATCAGCTCTATAGATGTATTACACGACTAGAGAGTCCTCAGATACATGTAGGTACCTCAGCTCTATAGATATATTACACGACTAGAAAGTGTTCATGTAGGTACCTCAGCTCTATAGATGTATTACATGACTAGAAAGTGTTCATGTAGGTACCTCAGCTCTATAGATGTATTACACGACTAGAAAGTGTTCATGTAGGTACCTCAGCTCTATAGATGTATTACATGACTAGAAAGTGTTCAGGTTCATGTAGGTACCTCAGCTCTATAGATGTATTACATGACTAGAAAGTGTTCAGGTTCATGTAGGTACCTCAGCTCTATAGATGTATTACATGACTAGAAAGTGTTCAGATACATGTAGGTACCTCAGCTCTATAGATGTATTACACGACTAGAAAGTGTTCATGTAGGTACCTCAGCTCTATAGATATATTACACGACTAGAAAGTGTTCATGTAGGTACCTCAGCTCTATAGATGTATTACATGACTAGAAAGTGTTCATGTAGGTACCTCAGCTCTATAGATGTATTACATGACTAGAAAGTGTACAGATACATGTAGGTACCTCAGCTCTATAGATGTATTACATGACTAGAAAGTGTTCATGTAGGTACCTCAGCTCTATAGATGTATTACATGACTAGAAAGTGTTCATGTAGGTACCTCAGCTCTATAGATATATTACATGACTAGAAAGTGTTCATGTAGGTACCTCAGCTCTATAGATATATTACATGACTAGAAAGTGTTCATGTAGGTACCTCAGCTCTATAGATATATTACAAGACTAGAAAGTGTTCATGTAGGTCCCTCAGCTCTATAGATATATTACATGACTAGAAAGTGTTCATGTAGGTACCTCAGCTCTATAGACTAGAAAGTGTTCATGTAGGTACCTCAGCTCTATAGATGTATTACACGACTAGAAAGTGTTCATGTAGGTACCTCAGCTCTATAGATATATTACACGACTAGAAAGTGTTCATGTTCATGTAGGTACCTCAGCTCTATAGATGTATTACATGACTAGAAAGTGTACAGATACATGTAGGTACCTCAGCACGACTCATGTAGGTACCTCATATATTACATGACTAGAAAGTGTTCATGTAGGTACCTCATGTAGATGTATTACATGACTAGAAAGTGTTCATGTAGGTACCTCAGCTCTATAGATGTATTACATGACTAGAAAGTGTGTTCAGTGTACCTCAGCTCTATAGTTCATGTAGGTACCTCAGCTCTATAGATGTATTACATGACTAGAAAGTGTACAGATACATGTAGGTACCTCAGCTCTATAGATATATTACACGACTAGAAAGTGTTCATGTAGGTACCTCAGCTCTATAGATGTATTACATGACTAGAAAGTGTTCATGTAGGTACCTCAGCTCTATAGATATATTACATGACTAGAAAGTGTTCAGGTTCATGTAGGTACCTCAGCTCTATAGATGTATTACATGACTAGAAAGTGTACAGATACATGTAGGTACCTCAGCTCTATAGATATATTACACGACTAGAAAGTGTTCATGTAGGTACCTCAGCTCTATAGATGTATTACACGACTAGAAAGTGTTCATGTAGGTACCTCAGCTCTATAGATATATTACATGACTAGAAAGTGTTCAGGTTCATGTAGGTACCTCAGCTCTATAGATGTATTACATGACTAGAAAGTGTTCAGGTTCATGTAGGTACCTCAGCTCTATAGATGTATTACATGACTAGAAAGTGTTCAGGTTCATGTAGGTACCTCAGCTCTATAGATGTATTACATGACTAGAAAGTGTTCATGTAGGTTCAGCTCTATAGATGTATTACATGGTTCATGTAGGTACCTCAGCTCTATAGATGTATTACATGACTAGAAAGTGTTCAGGTTCATGTAGGTACCTCAGCTCTATAGATGTATTACATGACTAGAGAGTCCTCAGATACATGTAGGTACCTCAGCTCTATAGATATATTACACGACTAGAAAGTGTTCATGTAGGTACCTCAGCTCTATAGATATATTACATGACTAGAAAGTGTACAGATACATGTAGGTACCTCAGCTCTATAGATATATTACACGACTAGAAAGTGTTCATGTAGGTACCTCAGCTCTATAGATATATTACATGACTAGAAAGTGTTCATGTAGGTACCTCAGCTCTATAGATGTATTACATGACTAGAAAGTGTTCATGTAGGTACCTCAGCTCTATAGATATATTACATGACTAGAAAGTGTTCATGTAGGTACCTCAGCTCTATAGATATATTACACGACTAGAAAGTGTTCATGTAGGTACCTCAGCTCTATAGATATATTACATGACTAGAAAGTGTACAGATACATGTAGGTACCTCAGCTCTATAGATATATTAGATATATTACAGCTCGACTAGAAAGTGTTCATGTAGGTACCTCAGCTCTATAGATATATTACATGACTAGAAAGTGTACAGTTACATGTAGGTACCTCAGCTCTATAGATATATTACACGACTAGAAAGTGTTCATGTAGGTACCTCAGCTCTATAGATATATTACACGACTAGAAAGTGTTCATGTAGGTACCTCAGCTCTATAGATGTATTACATGACTAGAAAGTGTTCAGGTTCATGTAGGTACCTCAGCTCTATAGATGTATTACATGACTAGAAAGTGTTCAGGTTCATGTAGGTACCTCAGCTCTATAGATGTATTACATGACTAGAAAGTGTTCAGGTTCATGTAGGTACCTCAGCTCTATAGATATATTACACGACTAGAAAGTGTTCATGTAGGTACCTCAGCTCTATAGATGTATTACACGACTAGAAAGTGTTCAGGTAGGTGCCTCAGCTCTATAGATATATTACACGACTAGAAAGTGTTCAGGTAGGTACCTCAGCTCTATAGAAAAATTACACGACTAGAAAGTGTTCATGTAGGTACCTCAGCTCTATAGATATATTACACGACTAGAGAGTCCTCATGTACATGTAGGTACCTCAGCTCTATAGATATAAATTACATGACTAGAAAGTGTTCATGTACATGTAGGTACCTCAGCTCTATAGATATAAATTACATGACTAGAAAGTGTTCAGGTTCATGTAGGTACCTCAGCTCTATAGATATATTACACGACTAGAAAGTGTTCATGTAGGTACCTCAGCTCTATAGATGTATTACACGACTAGAGAGTCCTCATGTACATGTAGGTACCTCAGCTCTATAGATATATTACACGACTAGAGAGTCCTCATGTACATGTAGGTACCTCAGCTCTATAGATATAAATTACATGACTAGAAAGTGTTCAGGTTCATGTAGGTACCTCAGCTCTATAGATATATTACACGACTAGAAAGTGTTCATGTAGGTACCTCAGCTCTATAGATATATTACATGACTAGAAAGTGTTCATGTAGGTACATCAGCTCTATAGATGTATTACATGACTAGAAAGTGTACAGATACATGTAGGTACCTCAGCTCTATAGATGTATTACACGACTAGAGAGTCCTCAGATACATGTAGGTACCTCAGCTCTATAGATATATTACACGACTAGAAAGTGTTCATGTAGGTACATCAGCTCTATAGATGTATTACACGACTAGAGAGTCCTCAGATACATGTAGGTACCTCAGCTCTATAGATATATTACACGACTAGAAAGTGTTCATGTAGGTACATCAGCTCTATAGATGTATTACACGACTAGAGAGTCCTCAGATACATGTAGGTACCTCAGCTCTATAGATGTATTACACGACTAGAAAGTGTTCATGTAGGTACATCAGCTCTATAGATGTATTACACGACTAGAGAGTCCTCAGATACATGTAGGTACCTCAGCTCTATAGATGTATTACACGACTAGAGAGTCCTCAGATACATGTAGGTACCTCAGCTCTATAGATATATTACACGACTAGAAAGTGTTCATGTAGGTACCTCAGCTCTATAGATATATTCCTCATGCATTTACAATAAACCAAGTAGAAAACGTGAAAATTACACAATTTTGATTTTTTTTGTAATTTTGAAAGGGTCGCTAAATTTGCAAAAATTAGATACATGCAAAAATTCCTGATATATTCTACAGAGACAAAGGTATAGCAAACCTTGTAGGTTTAGAACAGAGCTGTTCTTACTAATAAAACATCTTATTTCATGTGAGGAAAATACACAGTGACTTATGTACATAGATTTGACTTAAATCAGTTTGGCATGTGATTCTGTTGACTGTGCTTAATAAATCTGGAGACAAACCAAGAAATAGTATTACATGTAACTAAATGTGTCAGTAAAACACAATTCCAGTCTTTCCAGGGGCGAGAAGATTCCAAAGAAAGGCTAGGCTAATTTGCTGTCTGAAAGAGACAAATCACATTAATGGGAACTGGTGTTTACCTTAGAATGTCAAAGAACTGACACAGACAGACCAATTATTGTACAAACTAGGAAATGTTTTTAGAAGATACTCCCTAACCATTGCCATGGTGCATGTTTAATGAAAAGTCTAAACAAAATCATCAAACTCGAACATATAGGTCACAGTGACCTATATATCATAAAGTGATATGATAGCAGGAAAGTGCAATGTATATGACTTCAAGCATAAGTACTAGAAAAAATAAACTGTTATTATGAGTATCATAGTTTATCACACAGTACACTCCAGTGTCAGAACTTAACACAAAGTGTAACCAGAGTGTCAGAGATAAACACAAAGTGTAACCAGAGTATCAGAGCTAAACACAAAGTGTAACCAGAGTATCAGAGCTAAACACAAAGTGTAACCAGAGTGTCAGAGCTTAACACAAAGTGTAACCAGAGTGTCAGAGATAAACACAAAGTGTTACCAGAGTGTCAGAGATAAACACAAAGTGTTACCAGAGTGTCAGAACTAAACACAAAGTGTAACCAGAGTGTCAGAACTAAACACAAAGTGTAACCAGAGTATCAGAGATAAACACAAAGTGTAACCAGAGTGTCAGAGATAAACACAAAGTGTAACCAGAGTATCAGAGATAAACACAAAGTGTAACCAGAGTATCAGAGCTAAACATATAATTGCCATGGTTAAGCCAATAATGATAGTTCTATAGGTTTGATGTAATGTACTGGTCTGTTGGGGCTTTTATTTTAGCAGAGAGCATGTGAGAGACAAGTCATAGACAGTTCACGAATGATCTTTTCTTGGAGACTTGCGTAAATGAGAAATACATCCTGTACATTTAGAACTAAGATAATATTGCAAAAAACTCTGGAATCTTTGGGAAAAGCCTACAGTTTTTGAAACTGAATAGATAGTGAGAAATATGGGTAATTTGACGCTGTAACAGAGGTAAGTGGTGTATCAGGAGAGTCGTAGTCCCCACATGTAGGTAAGAAAAAATAATATGGATCATTGTATTTAATATCAGCCTTAATCACTGAATCCGTTGTAGATATTGTACTTAATGATCCTGAGATATTCACTTGAGTATGTTATAAACGCTTTCTGGGGTGTTTAATGTTATCGAAAACAAACCAATAGACAAAAAACAGGTCTTTATAGTTGTAGTTCAGTGTTTAAACTGCATTGGGGATTTCAAATGGAAAAATCAGTGTTTAAACTTCATCCTCATTGTCTAACTTCCTGAAATAATCTTTCTGGCCATGTGTTTAGCAAGAGCCTTTATGTTGACAAACAAATTCCAGCTACATACATATACTAGTCTATTGCCCCTTTATTGGAGAATGTAGAATTAATATATTCTATGGTTCAGTCTTCAGTCTGCATTGTTGTTTACAGAATCATTGTTTCAGTATAAGGTCTCTCTTTAATACAACAACAAAAATGAAAAACATACAAAGTCATGTGGCACTGGCAATATCATCTGGTGAAAATAAAAAGCTTTCAGGATCAGATTGACGGCATTAATCATTGTTTAAATTACTTTATCCTAAAGTAAGAGGTTTGTTAACTTAATATACAAACAATGAAATTGGACTAGAAATTTGAAAATTATTTTACTAAAACATATTAGAAGAATAGGAAAGTCAACCATTTCAGCAGTTTTCAAGGAAAAAGATGTCCCCCAAAATGAATAAGATGTGAGTCCTGAATGTAATGTCCTCAAGATATATCTGATTAGACTGTATGGTAATGTAATTTATATAGGTGAAATTTTTTAAGTTGAATTTTTTTAACATGTTACCTGATGGAAAAAATTCCAAAGATAACATTTGAAGTTAATGGTGTAAGTCAGCTTTTACAAAACACTTGGCACAAAGCTTATAAGGTAAAAATGAATGTTGTTGTATTTGTAGGTGAAACGTAAGGGCAAGTCATCACCACTTCACACCACAGGGGATGAAGGTGGTGTTTATCCAGCAAGTGTCCAACACCATGTTCAGCTATTACAAGACCATGTGGAGCAAAACCAACACCACACACAAGTGGCACTGGCTCAGGTCCATCTTCTCAAGGACCAGCTGGCAGCGGAGACTGCTGCTAGGATTGAGTCTCAAGTATGCAACTATTTCAGTGAACGAAAACAGTGTTTTGGTTAACTATAGGGTGTCATAATTAACCATACAATGTCTCAGTAAATTATACAATGTCTCAGTAAACTATACAATGTCTCAGTAAACTATACAATGTCTCATTAAACCATACAATGTCTCAGTAAACCATACAATGTCTCAGTAAACCATACAATGTCTCAGTAAACCATACAATGTCTCATTAAACTATACAATGTCTCAGTAAACCATACAATGTCTCAGTAAACTATACAATGTCTCATTAAACCAAACAATGTCTCAGTAAACTATACAATGTCTCATTAAACCATACAATGTCTCAGTAAACTATACAATGTCTCAGTAAACTATACAATGTCTCATTAAACCATACAATGTCTCAGTAAACTATACAATGTCTCATTAAACCATACAATGTCTCAGTAAACTATACAATGTCTCATTAAACCAAACAATGTCTCAGTAAACCATACAATGTCTCAGTAAATTATACATTGTCTCTTTAAGCCATACAATGTCTTGGTAAGCCATACAATGTCTTGGTAAGCCATACAATGTCATTATTACTGTATAGTGGTTCTGTTGGTCATCAGGATGTGGTCATCTATTTTAAAGTCTTAATTGTTGTTTACAAACTTCTCTTTGTCTTTATCCAAACAGGCACGAGCTCACCAGTTGTTGGTCCACAATAGAGAAATCCTACAACACATGGCTGAACTGGTTAATAGGTTACATGAGCTGGAGATACAGGTCAAGGGGACATCTGCTTCCATGGAAACTCTTCTTCCACCACCATCACAGTTACCGGTAATGATGATCATTTTCTGTCTGTTTCTTTTACTCTTTATATGTCGAAAAAATATATAAAGAAATGATATTTGATTGTAGATTGAATAAATGGCACTTCATTAGTATTTTGTTTGATGCTTTTACATTTCTGTCAACCTGAATTTATAAGAACTTTACTTCTGAAAAATTTTCAATGATAAACAAAAAGAATGAAATGGATATTTACAGCACTTTTCATCCTTTTTAAGGTATACCCAAATTGTAGATCAAGTTTATTTTGTCAAAACGCATTGATAAAAAGGTACGTTGACCAGATTTAGCAACCAAGTGTTAATGCTGTCTCGCATGACAAGTCCCATGAAATATTAGGTATAAAAGGTCAGAATTACATACAAACTGACCATGTAGGTAGTAGGTGTGAATATCATATATAGTGATAAAGTTAGGGAAGATGCCAGACTATAAAGAAAAATTATTGTAATGGAAGTCATTTCCAAAATAAAAGAACAACATTGCCAACATGTGAATGTGGTACAAGGGAGGTAAATCTTATAGATGTTTTGAAAGTCTGTTGCTTTGTGTTGAGTTGCTTCAAACTGAATATTTAGCGAGGAAAATAAAAACAATTACAAAGACAATAGATACAAGAAAAATTATATATTTGATTTAATAGTAAATTGATCAGCTGCTGTTTTCTTAAGTTCTATGCATGTCCATGTATCTTATAAATGTTTTTTTAAAATCTTTTTTACCAGTTTGCTATGTTACCTGACCCAACCACTCCCCAGGTGGGGCCGTTGTACACACCTGACCAACAGGATTTAGACAGTTCTTATATGGGTTCAATGACAGACTCCTCATCTTTTATACGGAACAATAAGTCTGACTTTGATACAGACTCTCCGGATAGTGGACATAAAGAAATGTCAACAGAAAATTTGTCCAAACCAGACAGTGCGTATTGGCAACACATCATGCATGGACAGCCTGTTTCTTTTAGTTCGCCGGATGGATTTTACGGGGAACCTGTTGGGCAGTTTGGTGATCTATCCTCTGTGACAGGCAATCCATTTGCCAATGGCTTTAATGATAATGTGGAGAGTTATTATCCCCAGAACTCAAATGAGGAGCATCTTAAAATCATTACACCCTTGCCACATCAAGATGCTAGTGGGAACAAACTTGAACTCAAACTGACCAAGACCCCTAAGATTGCACCACCACCTGAATTCCGAAACTCAAAATCATATAGGGATTCAACAATTTCGCAAGTAAGCATGGATAGCATTACTTCACAAGAACTAAGCCTGTTAATGAAAGGAGACAGTGATTATTTCTCCACAGTTACCAGTTCGTCAAGCTCTCACCTGAATGAGAATAGTTTAAACAACAATAACAAAAGTTTGGCAGGTCGCAATGGGAGTTCAGATTTAGACAATGTTAACTCACAAAACAATAATTCAGAATCTGCTTTCAAAGGTAACGACTTGTCAGCAGACTTTGTGACGACGTCTGACATTCAGTATATTGACAATCGGGAAGTGCGTGCCACAGCCACCACTAAACACAAAATATCACCGGAAATATGTGACATGGACCCACAAACTAATGTTTTGCCATCAACGGATGCCTCTCCTCAGAGCACCCTCAGCAAGGAGGCAGGACATGTGGAGGAGGCACAAATCAAAATCAAAGTTCCCCCTCCACCTCCACCTCCTCGTAAAATTGACTCTCTCACTTTCGAGGAGTTTGAAAATCTTGTATCCTGAATTTAACTTTTGACCTTTAACCTCTGTTTGCACATTTGCATTAGAGTTGAAAGTTGAAATAATAATAAAGTACTCCGGATTTGTTCCTGAAGGCTTGTGTTAAAGGGCACAATCATGTCAAAGATTTTCTGTAAGCTCTTCCTCTATTTTCACATTTACAAACCAGATATTTTCGTTAAAAAGAGCTTAACACAATTTCTTTGTTGTCAGTTTTGAAATGATTATAAGCTTTCATGCTCTGTAACATACTTAAAAGAACATATCATCAGAGATTGATGGTTTTCATGATAAAATGTACAGCATTTCAAACATGTTTTATAATGCTGTTTGATTATGAGAAGATAAAAACAAGGGAGGCATCTTTGTTTTTTGTGTAGTTTACTGAGATTCAGCTTCATAAATCCAAGATATTCTTTTAACAATTATGCTATTGCTTAAGAATAATTAATTATCAGTTTTGTCAGTTTTTCTATTTATCAGGCAAATACTTTGTATATATGTTAAGAGTAAGGACTCCCATCAGAGGACAATACAGGGCTACAGATTGCTTCCACTTACCTACATTGCTTTAGCACAAGAGAATATATTATATACTCAGATTTAGCATTTGTAATTAGTTTGCAAATAACTTAGATGTTATTGTATATAATTAATAACATTTGTTAGTTGATAGGTAGAAATCTACCTGTTAAATACAGGTCATCTGATTCCTCTGTTTAAATTATTTCAAAGTCTTAAATGATACATCTACATTTGTGTGTCTTTGTTATGTTCATTATACTGAATTACTTATTTATTTAAGAGTTGTCTCCCATTAATCAATGCTACAGGTTACAGAAGAGAAACAAAACTGTTTGAAAATTGAGGTGTTTTTGTCTCTAAGTTAGAAATTGTAGCCAAGCAAAAAAATGATGTTTATCATGAAGTAGATTTGGATTATGATGTAAACCTTGACAAAGGGTATCTTATGATGAAGCACTTTGGGTATACCATGGGAAGATACACATGGCTGACCTTGGACCTGAAAATTTTACTGTTAGATCTGAGGCTATCTAGACACCCTAATTCAGACATGTTACTTGTCAGTGGGAGAAGGAGAGTAAATTTAGTAAGGTTGTATATATATATATATATATGGTCATGAAGTGCCAAATATCAAATATTCAGCAATAGTCTTCAGTAGTAGTTAAACCTTTAAAGCCTACCCAGTAATCAAACAGCAAAATTATGTCTGCATGTTTCTGTAAGCAGCAGACATTTTAAAGTAACATTCTCACCTGATATATGTGTTTGTATTGGATGATTGCTATAAGCTTGATCGGACTGCCATTTGTTTAAAGTAATTTGAAATCAAATTATTCTTTTTCATCAGCAGACAGGATATCACTGGCAGTTATTTATTAATTTGTATGGTTATAAACTATGTGTACCTGTATTATATGGTTAATTTCGTCACAATTATATAGCAGGTAAGGGGATATAGCATTAAATATCCCAATAGAGGCGGATTTACTTAAATATCTTGTGAAATATCAAATATAATACTGATGGCTAAAAAGGTCATGGATCTTTGATACGTTTACTTTTTTATTTAAATGTTGTCATATTATGGATTTATGAACTTTTGTTCTATTTTTATCATTGATTCTAGTGAGAAATCCTCAGTATTTATTTATGTGATGATGTATGGTTCTGTCTCACGGAGTCCCTTTACATACGGCAGCATGGTGTCCTATTTATAAGCCTGTAGTAACCACACCCTCAGGCCTTACCTCAGGCCACAGTCCCTACTGCTTTTAGTCCCTTATATACCAATGCCACAATTAGCTAGGATTTAAGTCCATCAAACTTCAACATTATTAAGTATGTTATATTATAATGTATTTTGACTTTATTTACATGTGGTTGTCATATTTCCTACTAGAGTTTAATAAACATGAAAAATTTAGGATGAAAAATAGCAAATTAATTCATTTTTTAGTTTATATTATTTCAAAATCTAGTCAGATTGTGTTGAAATTTGTTTCGACATTTGCCCTGTCATTCTGTCTGTAGATATACTGAAGTTTAAGGAAATTTGTGGTACTGTTTGTACATATAGTTTAGTTCTACACTGTTAAATTATTAAATTTTTAAAGTACACATTTGCTCAGTATTTTGAATTGCTGTTGATGTTTTTCTGTTTTCCTTCCATTGTATGCAATATTATCAAAATTAGAAATGATTGCCCCACTGAAGCATGCTATATTATTCCATCACTTTAGACAATCCCACTGTATTCTTAATTCTAAAAAAATTATCCATCACTCTTTAAATCTGCTGTTATTATGTATACAAAAATTTGTCTCCCACCTCTATAGATAGAAAAGATTAACACAATCTTTCATTCCCTACCTATAAGGGCCATGTTTTAAAAAAAAAGGAGTCCTGCCTAGTTACAAGCAAATCTGACTGCGTAAGAGCATGGATGCACCTGTTTAATCATTAATACCAAATGTTTTAAGAGTTAGCAATAAGTATGTTAAAATTGACTTGAAATGAGCACATGTCTTAAGTAAATGATGTACTAAGGTTTTGGTCTCTTTTGATTAATTTTAAATAAATGATATGCTAGGTGTTTGGTCTGGTTTGATTATTTTTTTTCTATTTTGACATGTTTAAGAAATTGGTTATATGTGGGAATTCCTCCTACGCCCCATCCATAACCATGCCCCACCCATAACCCCACCCTCCCCACCACCCCATCCCCTAGTTATATCCAAGCATCCCTAGTCTGGTGGATGAAAAGGATTATCTATGATGAAGCTTAAAGATTTTAGGATATGTACTTGTCAACCTACAAGGAGCATGACCCATCTTTCCTAAAAATGCCCAACCAATGCAGATGGTTGACCCTTTGTCTATAAAACAGCTGGCTGTAATATACATTTTTTTTAGTCAGGAGCATGATTGCATCAATATTTCTATGAGACATAAATTGTCATTGTATCATTTACACATAATTATTATAGAATGTGACGTAAAAGAAAATAAACATCGAAGTGAAATCTTGTTCTTTTGTCTACAGATTCATCCATGTTGTCAATCTGAGATTATATCATCTTGTATTCAGCACATTTTGACTTATGGTGACAACATTTAGGATATCAAATGGACCTGTATATTATATATAAGGATGGACTGCAATCAACATTTACATCAATATTCATTTCGCTGTGGCAGGAATGAATTTCACATTTTTATATATAGTTTGGATATTTTTGTTGTAATAAAGATGAACATATTTTTATTAGATATTAAAACTTCTAAGAAATATTTCAACATTGACATTGATGGCAAATATTGTGCTTACAATTGCTTAAGCTGCATAACTTGTTGGAAATTATTGATGTAACTAAACTGGTAACCTGCGATTTTATGTCAGTAGAGTACTTTACTGAAAATTTGTCATTTCTGGCTAAGAAGTACAGTTATTTTATCAGTCAAGGCATCCTTTTTCTTAAGACAAATCTTATAAATCTATACTCACCAGGGAACAACTCTTCAGACAAATTTTCAGTTTTTTATAAAGAATTTGTCAAACTGGACTATCCTAAACGTTATTCTTTCTCGTCATTGTTTTACTCTTTCTTGTTCACAATGTCATACAAAACACCAATTTTCATTCTTCTCATTTATGTAATTAATTAACATAGAGGTTTAGCCTTATTGAATAATCCATTTCTCACAAGACTGATTTCATATAGGAAGGTTTTCTTTCATTGTCTTAATTCTTAAGATGGATTTTCCAAACAAGTGTTTTTATGTTCTATTAAGTCACCGTCGAGTACATATTCGGAGGGGATATTTCAAGATGGCAGCATGCAAACAACCCAATTTGTTTCTATGCATTTATCTGGTGTTTACACACACACATCTACCATAGGGTTTGATTGACATCAGCACATAAGCATAGGTACATTGTAAGTGTTTAAACTGAAAGGTGAATTATTAATCTTTAGAAACTGTCCTCTCTCAAAAATCTGATAAAATGGTGACTTTCCCCAAAAATTCCACTGTGTGTATGTAGACTCTATGACGATATCTAATAAACTGAAGGTAGTTATCACTGACCTTGATGAGAGCTGTAGTGTTACTTTATGTCATCATTTATACAGTTATTTGTGCTACTAGGAACTTTTGTGTCAATGTAGAGAACATTTATAGCTAGTCAATGTTTCAAATACTTGTTGAAATGTCCCAATGTTCCAAGTTTTGAAACAATCTTCTTACTGTTCAAATCAGATGAAAGAAACATAATGAAATATCTGACATTGTTCAGGTACACCTGCCATATTGACTTATGTTATATATAGGATAAAAGGGCAAAGTAGCAAATGAAAATTCCTTGCATCCTAGATTTCCAATTCAAATACTCAGCCATAATCAACATTAACTTTGAATTAATATTTTATAAACGGCAAAGCTCCTTGTAATTTTCACATAGATGGTGATGACCAACATTTCTCACAAGGATTATAAGGACTTGGACCTACAGAATGTTGGTATTGTGTGTTTAATTACTGCCATCTTGATCTGTCCCTTTCATACCATGTACATTTCAGTGAGAATTGATGTGTAAAAGCAATTTTTTATCTTTTATTTACAATGTTTGACGCTCTCTCAAAACTCATGTGATTGCTATATGAGTGGAAATGCTGAGGAAGGTAAAATTTGAATTGTGTTGTATGCTTTCAAGATATTTCATAAAATTTGAACAGCACTATAACTAAACACTGTATGTGTAGTATGAACACTTGATCACCGTCATAACAATGCCATTATGATGTAACACACTTGTAATATCATATAGAATATATTAAAGAGGATACCAAAATCATTTGTGTGGCTTTCTATATTGATCTATAATCTTAAGATATTAAGCAGATTTAAAACCTCAAGGATCGAATCATTTTGTTCTGACAGGATACATGTCTGATTTAGTTTTTTCTGTTCAATACACGACGACGATGGATACAATTTGTCCGTATTAGGAATGGTAAGGCTCCTGATTTACGTGGATATTCTGTTAATTTATTCCATTTAAAACTTGCTTTCTGGTAAAATATTGAAATTTGTTTGATTATGAACACCTTAAAAGAGTTCAGACAGACTATGTGTACTCCAGCAATGTTGTGGTACACTCAGTCTGTAGACTCCAATGAACTGCTACACTTGGTCTGTAGACTCCAATGAACTGGTACACTCAGTCTGTAGATTCCAATGAACTGTTACACTCAGTCTGTAGATTCCAATGAACTGGTACACTCAGTCTGCAGATTCCAATGAACTGGTACACTTGGTCTGTAGACTCCAATGAACTGGTACACTCAGTCTGTAGACTCCAATGAACTGGTACACTTGGTCTGTAGACTCCAATGAACTGGTACACTTGGTCTGTAGATTCCAATGAACTGGTACACTTGGTCTGTAGACTCCAATGAACTGGTACACTTGTTCTGTAGATTCCAATAAACTGGTACACTCAGTCTGTAGACTCCAATGAACTGGTACACTTGTTCTGTAGATTCCAATGAACTGGTACACTCAGTCTGTAGACTCCAATGAACTGGTACACTTGTTCTGTAGATTCCAATGAACTGGTACACTCAGTCTGTAGACTCCAATGAACTGGTACACTTGGTCTGTAGACTCCAATGAACTGGTACACTTGGTCTGTAGATTCCAATGAACTGGTACACTCAGTCTGTAGACTCCAATGAACTGGTACACTTGTTCTGTAGATTCCAATGAACTGGTACACTTGTTCTGTAGACTCCAATGAACTGGTACACTAGGTCTGTAGACTCCAATGAACTGGTACACTTGTTCTGTAGACTCCAATGAACTAGTACACTTGGTCTGTAGACTCCAATGAACTGGTACACTTGGTCTGTAGATTCCAGTGAACTGGTACACTCAGTCTGTAGACTCCAATGAACTGGTACACTCGGTCTGTAGACTCCAATGAACTGGTACACTCAGTCTGTAGACTCCAATGAACTGGTACACTAGGTCTGTAAACTCCAAAATCATAAAAATCATAATTTATCATGAAGATTTCAACAAATTCAAGTTTTGGAAAATTGTATGACAAATTTACAGTTGCTGTTCACCTAAAATATTTACACATTTTTTGGCCACATATATGTACTTGAAACATTGAAAATTTCATCGAATTCCGGGACTGGTAAAATTGTTCCTGGGACAGATTTTCTTGTGATGGCAGAATCATGAAAATATTTCATTTTTTATCAGCATGTTCTTCTTTTCATAATGGAACTGAAAAAAAGGGTGTTGCTATTACATACATGTGTTGAGGCACTGACAAAGTTTTTTTTATGTAAATTAAGAATCCAAAATAATTTCTGATAACGATTATTGCCATACTTCAGGCATACAATGATAATAATTCACAATTTTTTTTAATTACTTTTGTCAATTTAGATTTCTGGTCCTTATTTTCTGTTTTTTTTTCATTGAGACATTGGCAAGTGAGTTCATAATATATAGATAGAATCTTAAAGTTTGTTACTGTGTGGTTGCATTGACTTCGGAGGTTTCAAATGTATAACATACCCCAAGTAACAATGTGTTTACGAGAGATACTACCACCTCATTGATTCATGTATGATGCACAGAATGCCGCTTTGATATTCATTTCATATTTTTAAAAAATATAAGAAACAAAAACTAGGTCGACAGATGTGATGATATTAAAGCACCAATCATATCTTTCCGGAAAAGTATTTGCAATACTTGAGAAATGAGAACAATACGCGGGGTCGTAGGTAAGTAGTTTACTTGTTTAAAACTGATATCACAAGTGCAATCTATAAATACACCAACGGGGTTTCCTTTAATTTTAGCGGAATATTTATGAAGTTTCCACGAATGTTCTACGTGAGCAAACACTTAAAATAACAGTGACATACGCAGCACATACAGATAACCTATATACCTCCGGAAGCAACTGGCAGGTTGTCCAAAAGCTGGCTATAGAGCTCTGATAAAATGTTGTGTATGCGCACTTGGATATCACACATTGCGATATTTCAATAGATGTTTTAGGTTTGGGAGGAGGTCACTAGATGTACATGCGATAATAAATTGCTCGCTACACTGAGAACAGACTGCTAGCTACACTGAGGAACTGACCAGGTGAGCTGTCCATATTGTCTACATTATACATTTAAATGCACATTACGAACGTTTATTTATCTTGTGACTAAGTCGACAGGTTTTAGAAAACATCGATCGCATATCCTCCCAGGTATAATTGTACAGTAAGGCTTTATCACAATTGCAGGTTGGACGAAATACTCCGACACCGTACGTTATATAGATCCTATTACACGTGCACGTTGTTATTACAGGTGTAATGTTTAAAATAGATCAATACAAATGTTATGTTAGATATCCCAAAGCTAAGTTTAATGGCAGTTGTTGTCAATCATAGATTTATTACGTGTACATGTCTTATAACCTTTTCTCGGCAGCTATAATTGTTAAATACACGTCACACTCAAGTTGTTGTGATAACATTATTATTTCCTGCACATTAAATTATATATGGAAATAACCGACCTTATATAATAACTCTTTCATTTCTTTCTTTCCAAAATTTGATGGCTAAAAAAATTTATGTGGATTTTTTTTTTTTTTTTTAATGGAGCTTTAAAATATTCCCATGTGCACGTATTTAACCTTTTCACTTATGAATTTAACTGTTACGTGAAAGCAGCTGTGTAAATATAGTAACTTATTGCTACATAATTTCAACTGTTAAGAACTTTTCAGTTGTTGTCTCCACATCAATCCTGGCTTCTCTTGTAATACGGCTACATTAATCATATATGCACTGCTTCACTTTTCTAACCCATGGTTGTGTGCCTGTTTTGTTAATTAAAGGTACACTTAGCTTATTTCACCACACAAATTACATGTATAATCATTTTTTAGACCTCTAACAATTTATAGTAGACACAATAATTTCATTTACATCCTTTTTGTAGGCAGATGTAGGGTATTTCTATGTCAGGTTTTAGCATTTTTTCCTTGTTAGGTTTTGTCTCTTTTTTTTCTTGATAAGGTTGTCACTTATTTCTTTTTTGTTCCTAGATTATGTCACTAATTTCTTTATAATGTTTTGTCACTAGGTCCTGTCACTTATTTCTTCATAAGTTTTTGTCACTAATTTCTTTAAATAGTTTTGTCATTTATTTCTTGTTTTGTCACTCGGTTTTGTCACTTATTTCTTTACAAGGTTCTATCACTATTTTCCTGTTTTGTCACTCTGTTCTGTCACTAACTTCTTTATATGGTTTTGTCACTTATTTCTTTATAAGGTTTGGTTACTTATTCCTTTACAAGATTCTGTCACTATTTCCCTGTTTTATCACTCTCTTCTGTCACTAACTCCTTTATATGTTTTTTTTTCACTTATTCCTTTACAAGATTCTGTCACTATTTTCCTGTTTTGTCACTATGTTCTGTCACTTATTTCTTTACAAAGTGTTGTCACTAACTTCTTTACAAAGTGTTGTCACTTATTTCTTTACAAGGTATTGTCACTTATTTCCTTCCAAGATGTTGTCACTTATTTCTTTACAAGGTGTTGTCACCTATTTCATTACAAGGTGTTGTCACTGATTTCTTTACAAAGTGTTGTCACTAATTTCTTTACAAGGTGTTGTTACTTATTTCTTTACAAAGTGTTGTCACTAATTTCTTTACAAGGTGTTGTCACTTATTTCTTTACAAAGTGTTGTCACTAATTTCTTTACAAGGTGTTGTCACTTATTTCTTTACAAAGTGTTGTCACTAATTTCTTTACAAGGTGTTGTCACTTATTTCTTTACAAAGTGTTGTCACTCATTTCTTTACAAGGTATTGTCACTTATTTCTTTACAAGGTGTTGTCACTTATTTCCTTCCAAGATGTTGTCACTAATTTCTTTACAAGGTGTTGTCACCTATTTCATTACAAGGTGTTGTCACTTATTTCTTTACAAAGTGTTGTCACTAATTTCTTTACAAGGTGTTGTCACTTATTTCTTTACAAAGTGTTGTCACTAATTTCTTTACAAGGTGTTGTCACTTATTTCTTTACAAAGTGTTGTCACTAATTTCTTTACAAGGTGTTGTCACTAATTTCTTTACAAGGTGTTGTCACTTATTTCCTTACAAGATGTTGTCAGTTATTTCTTTAAAAGGTGTTGTCACTAATTTTTTTATTATGTTTTGTCACTAATTTCTTTACAAGGTGTTGTCACTTATTTCTTTACAAGGTGTTGTCACTAATTTCTTTACAAGGTGTTGTCACTTATTTCCTTACAAGATGTTGTCAGTTATTTCTTTAAAAGGTGTTGTCACTAATTTTTTTATTATGTTTTGTCACTAATTTCTTTACAAGGTGTTGTCACTTATTTCTTTACAAGGTATTGTCACTTATTTCTTTACAAGGTATTGTCACTTATTTCTTTATAAGGTGTTGTCACTTATTTATAAGGTCTTGTCACTTATTTCCTTTTAAGGTTTCATCACTAATTTACGAAGATTTAATGTTTTTACAATTCTTAAAGTTTATGTTTAACTGTTCTTTCAAGTAGCTTTCATCATACTGTAAATTAAGGAAACATCTGTCTTAATAGAGTTGTATAATAAATATAACAATAGAATGTTTCTGTGATATAAGGTTGTCTTTATATCTATATATTACTTGCATTTCTAATCCTTTCTAATGCTGTTTTATAACATAGATTTACAGCGTATATTTTCACATTAATTACATGTACATTGTACATTGATAATACTTTCTTTACGATTGTTTATATAAAGTAGCTAGCTTACTTAAACACATAATCCATGTGATAATACTGTAGGGGTTGTGCACCTCCTGATTTAGATCCTGATATTTCTGCCGATTAGTTTGGTCTTCCCTCATTTTCCTCATAGGTTTCACAATTTAGCCTTGCCTTTTTCATAACGGCAAGTCCTAGTAGGACAAAAAGCTACTGTATGATGCAGTTTCGTTCATTGTTTGGCTGTATAGTATTTAACTCTGTCTTTCGTACAATGCTTAATCGTGGTGGAATTAGACTGGCCATAAAATAAAAGTTAACCTTACTTTAACTATACATGTGCACTTCACCCATGCTTGTCACTTGTCACAGTCCACTTGATCCACTTGAAGGAGCAGATCAGTGTGGCGTGTATATTATAAAGGTTTCTGTCACTCAGTGATGGAGAACTAGATATATTTCTGTAGTTGATTTATCACCTCCACTCCTGAAGAAAAACACAAAATAAATATAAATGATGAAAACAGAAATACCTGTGATGTTTGAAATATTGTCAGTATTGAATATCTTTGTCTTCCAGGTTCATCACCATGTAAACAGCCAGGGTCATATTTGAACAATTGGAGTCACTTTGTATCAGGTACAATTTTATTAAGCTACTATATAATCCTAAGCAAAATGGGGGTAAATCCTAGTGTCTTATCCAACCACACAACTACATGTATGGCAGTATAGGATGGTGATGGTGATGGTCAAACACAACTATGACAGTACAGGATGATGATGGTCAGACACAACTATGACAGTACAGGATGATGTTGGTCAGACACATCTATGACAGTACAGGATGATGTTGGTCAGACACATCTATGACAGTACAGGATGATGATGGCCAGACACATCTATGACAGTACAGGATGATGATGGTCAGACACAACTATGACAGTACAGGATGATGATGGTCAGACACAACTATGACAGTACAGGATGATGATGGTCAGACTCAACTATAACAGTACAGGATGATGATGGCCAGACACATCTATGACAGTACAGGATGATGATGGTCAGACACAACTATGACAGTACAGGATGGTGATGGTCAGACACAACTATGACAGTACAGGATGACCAGACACAACTATGACAGTACAGGATGGTGATGGTCAGACACACCTATAACAGTACAGGATGATGATGGTCAGACACAACTATGACAGTACAGGATGATGATGGTCAGACACAACTATGACAGTACAGGATGACCAGACACAACTATGACAGTACAGGATGGTGATGGTCAGACACAACTATGACAGCACAGGATGATGATGGTCAGACACAACTATGACAGTACAGGATGATGATGGTCAGACACAACTATGACAGTACAGGATGACCAGACACAACTATGACAGTACAGGATGGTGATGGTCAGACACAACTATGACAGCACAGGATGATGATGGTCAGACACAACTATGACAGTACAGGATGGTGATGGTCAGACACAACTATAACAGTACAGGATGACCAGACACAACTATGACAGTACAGGATGGTGATGGTGATGGTCAAACACAACTATGACAGTACAGGATGATGATGGTCAGACACAACTATGACAGTACAGGATGGTCAGACACAACTATGACAGTACAGGATGATGATGGTCAGACACAACTATGACAGTACAGGACGATGATGACCAGACACAACTATGACAGTACAGGATGATAATGGTCAGACACAACTATAACAGTACAGGATGATGATGGTCAGACACAACTATGACAGTACAGGATGATGATGGTCAGACACAACTATGACAGTACAGGATGATGATGGTCAGACACAACTATGACAGTACAGGACGATGATGACCAGACACAACTATGACAGTACAGGATGATAATGGTCAGACACAACTATAACAGTACAGGATGATGATGGTCAGACACAACTATGACAGTACAGGATGATGATGGTCAGACACAACTATGACAGTACAGGATGATGATGGTCAGACACAACTATGACAGTACAGAATGATGATGACCAGACACAACTATGGAAGTACAGGATGGTCAGACACAACTATGACAGTACAGGATGATGATGGTCAGACACAACTATGACAGTACCGGATGATGATGTTCTGACACAACTATGACATTTCAAGGTGGTGAATGACGGAGATTTTGGTGTCCTATCACAAACCAAGAATAGGGATCATTGAACCACACTCTGTAGATCTTCACTTGAGACATGTACTGACTGTATGATGCTCTACCAACTGATCTGCCACAACCCACCATAAAAGTCAGAAGCATAACAGGGAGGGTATATGGCTTTGTTGGCATAGCAAGAAGTAAAGCATTGTATATATAGCTGGGAAGTGGGTTTTAGAAGGAGGGTGACATTGTATGAGAAGTAAGGAAGTTTACATTGTAAGTGGTAAAGTGGCTAGCTGTAAACAGGGCAGATTACAATTTAATCATAGCAGGGAAAGTGACATATAAAGTGTAGGAAGAATGGTGTAAGGAGGCATTGTTACAACAGCAGGAAGTTGGGGCCATCTTATATATAGTAGGAAGGGTGGCATGCATGAATTGAGTATAGCAGGGAGGGTGTTGTCCTTGCCAATAGTGGAGTGTTATTTCGTTAATGGGAATGTTGAATGACATATGACGTTTCTGATGAACATGTAAAGTCACTGAATATTTCTTTTGTAGGTTAAAATAGTAACAAGGAACTAAAGACGAAACAATGAGTGCTGAGGGAGAAAAATCTCCAGGCAGGGAAATGGAGCTCAATGTAAGACTTTGGCACATATGTGATCCTAGTTTCAGTAGATACCAACAAATATGATAGAATCATATCTAAAGCTCTTTCTTACTGACACCAAGTATTTACATTGATGGTGTGATATATATATACAGTTTTCATGAAATGGCTAATGTGGGATTCTTGTTTAATTGTGACCTCTGCTCGGCTGATACAGATTTTGAATGTACATGCCATCTGTTGTTCATCATTTGTGACTGAAACATATAAATTAGAGGTATTTTTATGGCAAGTTTCTGTGTTGTACATAGGCTAAGGCTTGAGGAATGGTTATTTTAATTTACCTGTATATCCAATCACAATAAATACAGTAAAAAAAGTGTTTCATCACTCTGTTGATGGTATATAAGTCAGATCATGAAACAAAATTTGCTTAATGTCATGATCGTTCTGGTGAAGGAAAGCTGAGAGATTTCAGACCATAAAGTTGCTTGGTTGATCTGATATACATCACATAGACTTTTACATTATAACTGAATTTTATCTTATGTGCTCCTTGATATTTTTGAAGATGCCAAGGACTCCGGTATATGACCAGTCTATATCACTGTGGGGACGTGTTAAAGTGTTACCTATACAGATTCAACGTCAGCTGCTGGACCAGTACCGTGAGCCATTCACTGTGGAGGTCCGAGACCAACTGGCGGATCTTATAGAACAACTCCCATGGTAGGTAACAGAAGACATGACAGTCTCCATGGTGATCACTGCTATCTGAAAACAAGGCCATGCATGGTGTTAAGTCTACCCATATGTACTGTATAATAGCAAACAAATACCATTATATAGTCCTTTGCTGCCCACAGCGTACAGTCTGCATGGTAGCCAAAGTACATACAATGGTTGTCACTGTGACCAAAGTACATATACCAGTTGTCATTGTGATGACAGTACATATACCAGTTGTCACTGTGAACAAAGTACATATGCCAGTTGTCACTGTGACCAAAGTATATATACACGTCACTGAGACCAAAGTACATATACCAGTTGTCACTGTGACAAAAGTACATATACCAGTTGTCACTGTGACCAAAGTACATATACCAGTTGTCACTGTGACAAAAGTACATATACCAGTTGTCACTGTGACAAAAGTACATATACACGTTGTCACTGTGACCAAAGTACATATACGAGTTGTCACTGTGACCAAAGTACATATACCAGTTGTCACTGTGACCAAAGTACATATACCAGTTGTCACTGTGACAAAAGTACATATACCAGTTGTCACTGTGACCAAAGTACATATACCAGTTGTCACTTTGACAAAAGTACATATACCAGTTGTCACTGTGACAAAAGTACATATACATGTTGTCACTGTGACCAAAGTACATATACCAGTTGTCACTGTGACCAAAGTACATATACCAGTTGTCACTGTGACCAAAGTACATATACCAGTTGTCACTGTGACCAAAGTACATATACCAGTTGTCACTGTGACCAAAGTACATATACGAGTTGTCACTGTGACCAAAGTACATATACCAGTTGTCACTGTGACCAAAGTACATATACCAGTTGTCACTGTGACCAAAGTACATATACCAGTTGTCACTGTGACAAAAGTACATATACCAGTTGTCACTGTGACAAAAGTACATATACATGTTGTCATTGTGACCAAAGTACATATACCAGTTGTCACTGTGACCAAAGTACATATACCAGTTGTCACTGTGACCAAAGTACATATACCAGTTGTCACTGTGACCAAAGTACATATACCATTTGTCATTGTGACCAAAGTACTTATACCGGTTGTCACTGTGACCAAAGTACATATACCAGTTGTCACTGTGACCAAAGTACATATACGAGTTGTCACTGTGACCAAAGTACATATACCAGTTGTCACTGTGACCAAAGTAAATATACCAGTTGTCACTGTGACAAAAGTACATATACCATTTGTCATTGTGACAAAAGTACTTATACCGGTTGTCACTGTGACCAAAGTACATATACCAGTTGTCACTGTGACCAAAGTACATATACCAGTTGTCACTGTGACCAAAGTACATATACCATAGTTGTCATTGTGACCAAAGTACTACATATACCAGTTGTCACTGTGACCAAAGTACATATACCAGTTGTCACTGTGACCAAAGTACATATACGAGTTGTCACTGTGACCAAAGTACATATACCAGTTGTCACTGTGACCAAAGTAAATATACCAGTTGTCACTGTGACAAAAGTACATATACCATTTGTCATTGTGACAAAAGTACTTATACCGGTTGTCACTGTGACCAAAGTACATATACCAGTTGTCACTGTGACCAAAGTACATATACGAGTTGTCACTGTGACCAAAGTACATATACTTGTTGTCATTGTGACCAAAGTACATATACCAGTTGTCACTGTGACCAAAGTACATATACCAGTTGTCACTGTGACCAAAGTACATATACCAGTTGTCACTGTGACCAAAGTACATATACCATTTGTCATTGTGACCAAAGTACTTATACCGGTTGTCACTGTGACCAAAGTACATATACCAGTTGTCACTGTGACAAAAGTACATATACCAGTTGTCACTGTGACCAAAGTACATATACCAGTTGTCACTGTGACTAATGTAAATATACCAGTTGTCACTGTGACCAAAGTAAATATACCAGTTGTCACTGTGACCAAAGTACATATACCAGTTGTCACTGTGACCAAAGTACATATACCAGTTGTTTTTGTGACCAAAGTACATATACCAGTTCACGGCTCTTGATCTGCCAGATTTGGGGCCGAATAATTCCCAATACAAAATAGTATCTTTTTTCCCCAATTCAGACCCCAAGTTTTCCCAATTCTAAGGAAAACGTCGCTATTTTTCCCAATTCCAAGGGCCCCAGGCCCCAGTCCCAAAATGGGATGTGAGAGCCCTGCAGTTTTCACTGTGATCAAAGTACATATACCCGTTGTCACTGACCAAAGTACATATACCAGTTGTCACTGTGACCAAAGTACATATACCAGTTGTCATTGTGACCAAAGTACATATACCAGTTGTCACTGTGACAATCCAGGGATCAACTTCAGTTATAATACCACATCTTAATCAAATCATGTTTCATGGTGTTTGTCTCCTGTATTTACTGGGTAATAACATGGAGAATAATACAAAAATCACAATCTCCATTGAAAGAAATACACTAACAACTTCAGATGAGTTTCCTGTTATGATGGCTCATCAATGCCTCTCCATGTCTGTTGTTTTATGAATCTACTTTAGTGAACAAATGCATGCCTTTATCATTCAGAGATAGACATGAAGAATCTTAGGATTGTACATCAGGAATCCATATTAACTTCAATTTAAACAGATCACCAACTGACAGAGAAACATTTTAAGCCTTTTCATTTGCCTTGACCTGACCTGAACCTATCAACAAATTGACTGGAAAGTTAAAAAGCAGAGCATTTACATTATCAATGGTTGAAAGGAGTGTTTTGATTGGCTAAAACAATGTGAGGGACTGTCTCAAACAAAATTGGTTTTTGTCGAATTTCATTGATATTGCAAAAATAACAACACTTTTAGACTCTAATAATTTTATAATGGGATAGTATGCTTGTTTTATACATACACCATGAGATTTCATCATCAATTTTGTTGTTTTAACACGAGACACACCAAAATTCATGATCTTATCCCCAGTATATGTATAAAATCAAACATTCTATCGCCTAATTATATAGGCACCCTGAATGCAGATTGTAGAATATGTATTGATTAATTTGCTGTTATCAATATTCTTGTTAAGTATCTATGTGAGTGATATAGGTCCTATGGGCCACTTGTTTTGATTATTCAAATCAACATCAAACTAAAATATCTATCATGACCAGATGAAAACTTGTACATGCAGTTCTTCAACATTCAGTCTTGTGTAATATATGTATCTCTCTGTTGTCTTCCTCAAACTTGTTTATTCAATATAAAGTCATTCTAAAAAACTGGCCACTTTACATTTTGATATTAGGAGTGAGGTGAACGAAGAAAACTCTGGTAATTTTGAAGATGAAGGATATGCTAATCAGATGTTGGACTCAGTGCTAAACAAACTTAGCAGCACCATTCATAGTACCACAGAATTTGTCCTCAAAACCAAGCTTCGTGACTCTGAACACAAACTCAGAGTAGGTAACTTCAGAATAATTCACTGATCAATGATGACAGAGAAAGCAGAAAGTATGACATTGAAGCCCACCCCCATTACTCACAATTGTTATCTAATCTTATCAACGTCATCTATAGATAGCCTCAATAGTCAGTGTGAGGTATAATAGCACTGGTTTCCTGTCTTGAGTCACTATTGTTCTGTCTCTTGCTCTGAATCAGGGGAGATAACTCAATTTTACATGTGACATGTTTCTAGAAGTTAAAAAATAAGTTTCCTCACAGTCATTGCAACATGAACTCCTCACTTGATTAATATTAATGTTTGATGGGATATAGTTTATAAATGTCAGTTTTTGACCATACTAATCTTTTTCAGAGAAATAATGTATGTAGTGGAATTGTTGATATTTTTATTCTTGTTTTAAGCAAAGATACATGGGAAATGCCTTGGAGTTTGTTAAGTTAGTGAAAAGCTACCTATCCCAGGAGGAACGTGCTGTGGCACAGGCAGAAAGTGTAAGTGTTGACTTTGTTAACAGTTTGTTAAGTTAGTGAAAAGCTACCTATCCCAGGAGGAACGTGCTGTGGCACAGGCAGAAAGTGTAAGTGTTGACTTTGTTAACAGTTTGTTAAGTTAGTGAAAAGCTACCTATCCCAGGAGGAACGTGCTGTGGCACCGGCAGAAAGTGTAAGTGTTGAATTCTAAATGTGACATTTCCAAAAAATGTTCTAGGTAAATCTATACAATATTAGAATTTTCGATTTGTTTTTTTTTTCTAAAGTATTTTAACTACTTCATGTAAGAAAGAACATTTTGTGCTGAATTTAAACTATGTAAGATTTTCAATACAACAACTAGAGCCAAACTTTGCTGCATACATTCATGTTATTATGTTGAAAGACAGAAATAACTTCTCTTCTGGTGTAAATCTTTTAAAATTACTTGGTCCATTCAAAGAATTTATGTGAAGTTAGAAAAATGGTCCCTAAGTTTAGAGGCTAAGAAAACCACTTTTGCTGAAATATTTGATTTGCTTAAGATTGATACAATTGAAATATAATGGATATGTTGATATGATTAGGCTACATCTGAGAATGGAGGTGACACGCAGTATCATCGTCAGCTGGATCTTATCCAGAGAATTGAAAGTTTACAGTGTAGGACCCAGGTATGTAAAACGTCCAGGGTAGTTACCCACAAAATAACAGATAATTACAAAAGGTTGAAATCAGGTAAATATTGTAAAAATATGCAGGCCAGTTTATATATCCACACAAACACTGTGACAATATGATCAATCATAAGATAGACTGCTGAAGAGGAGTTTAATGTAGGGGAGACTACTGTAGTGGAGGCTACTGTAAAGGAGACTACCTTAGGAGAGGCTACTGTAGTGGAGGCTACTGTAATGGAGACTACTGTAGTGGAGACTACTGTAGTGGAGACTACTGTAGGGGAGGCTACTGTATTGGAGACTACTGTAATGGAGACTACCTTAGGAGAGGCTACTGTAATGGAGACTACTGTAATGGAGACTACTGTAGTGGAGACTACTGTAGGGGAGGCTACTGTATTGGAGACTACTGTAATGGAGACTACCTTAGGAGAGGCTACTGTAATGGAGACTACTGTAGTGGAGACTACTGTAGGGGAGGCTACTGTATTGGAGACTACTGTAAAGGAGACTACCTTAGGAGAGGCTTCTGTAGGGGAGGCTACTGTAGGGGAGACTACTGTAGGGGAGGCTACTGTAGTGGAGGCTACTGTAATGGAAACTACTGTAGTGGAGGCTACTGTAATGGAGACTACTGTAGTGGAGACTACTGTAGGGGAGGCTACTGTATTGGAGACTACTGTAATGGAGACTACCTTAGGAGAGGCTTCTGTAGGGGAGGCTACTGTAGGGGAGACTACTGTAGGGGAGGCTACTGTAGGGGAGACTACTGTGGGGGAGACTACTGTTGGGGAGACTACTGTAGGGGAGACTACTGTAGTGGAGGCTACTGTAATGGAAACTACTGTAGTGGAGGCTACTGTAATGGAGACTACTGTAATGGAGACTACCTTAGGAGAGGCTTCTGTAGGGGAGGCTACTGTAGGGGAGACTACTGTAGGGGAGGCTACTGTAGGTGAGACTACTGTAGTGGAGATTACAGTAGGGGGGCTACTGTAGGGTGGCTACTGTAGGTGAGATAACTGTAGTGGAGACTACTGTAGTGGAGACTACTGTACGGGAGACTACTGTAGGGGAGGCTACTGTAGGTGAGACTACTGTAGTGGAGACTACTGTAGGGGGGCTACTGTAGAGGAGGCTACTGTAGGTGAGATAACTGTAGTGGAGACTACTGTAGTGGAGACTACTGTACGGGAGACTACTGTAGGGGAGGCTACTGTAGGTGAGACTACTGTAGTGGAGACTACTGTAGGGGGGCTACTGTAGGGGAGGCTACTGTAGGGGAGACTACTGTAGTGGAGACTACTGTAGGGGAGACTACTGTAGGGAAGGCTACTGTAGGTGAGACTACTGTAGTGGAGACTACTGTAGGGGGGCTACTGTAGAGGAGGCTACTGTAGGGGAGACTACTGTAGTGGAGGCTACTGTAAAGGAGACTACCTTAGGAGAGGCTACTGTAGTGGAGGCTACTGTAATGGAGACTACTGTAGTGGAGACTACTGTAGTGGAGACTACTGTAGGGGAGGCTACTGTATTGGAGACTACTGTAATGGAGACTACCTTAGGAGAGGCTACTGTAATGGAGACTACTGTAATGGAGACTACTGTAGTGGAGACTACTGTAGGGGAGGCTACTGTATTGGAGACTACTGTAATGGAGACTACCTTAGGAGAGGCTACTGTAATGGAGACTACTGTAGTGGAGACTACTGTAGTGGAGACTACTGTAGGGGAGGCTACTGTATTGGAGACTACTGTAAAGGAGACTACCTTAGGAGAGGCTTCTGTAGGGGAGGCTACTGTAGGGGAGACTACTGTAGGGGAGGCTACTGTAGTGGAGGCTACTGTAATGGAAACTACTGTAGTGGAGGCTACTGTAATGGAGACTACTGTAGTGGAGACTACTGTAGGGGAGGCTACTGTATTGGAGACTACTGTAATGGAGACTACCTTAGGAGAGGCTTCTGTAGGGGAGGCTACTGTAGGGGAGACTACTGTAGGGGAGGCTACTGTAGGGGAGACTACTGTGGGGGAGACTACTGTTGGGGAGACTACTGTAGGGGAGACTACTGTAGTGGAGGCTACTGTAATGGAAACTACTGTAGTGGAGGCTACTGTAATGGAGACTACTGTAATGGAGACTACCTTAGGAGAGGCTTCTGTAGGGGAGGCTACTGTAGGGGAGACTACTGTAGGGGAGGCTACTGTAGGTGAGACTACTGTAGTGGAGATTACAGTAGGGGGGCTACTGTAGGGTGGCTACTGTAGGTGAGATAACTGTAGTGGAGACTACAGTAGGGGGGCTACTGTAGGGTGGCTACTGTAGGTGAGATAACTGTAGTGGAGACTACTGTAGTGGAGACTACTGTACGGGAGACTACTGTAGGGGAGGCTACTGTAGGTGAGACTACTGTAGTGGAGACTACTGTAGGGGGGCTACTGTAGAGGAGGCTACTGTAGGTGAGATAACTGTAGTGGAGACTACTGTAGTGGAGACTACTGTACGGGAGACTACTGTAGGGGAGGCTACTGTAGGTGAGACTACTGTAGTGGAGACTACTGTAGGGGGGCTACTGTAGGGGAGGCTACTGTAGGGGAGACTACTGTAGTGGAGACTACTGTAGGGGAGACTACTGTAGGGAAGGCTACTGTAGGTGAGACTACTGTAGTGGAGACTACTGTAGGGGGGCTACTGTAGAGGAGGCTACTGTAGGGGAGACTACTGTAGTGGAGGCTACTGTAAAGGAGACTACCTTAGGAGAGGCTACTGTAGTGGAGGCTACTGTAATGGAGACTACTGTAGTGGAGACTACTGTAGTGGAGACTACTGTAGGGGAGGCTACTGTATTGGAGACTACTGTAATGGAGACTACCTTAGGAGAGGCTACTGTAATGGAGACTACTGTAATGGAGACTACTGTAGTGGAGACTACTGTAGGGGAGGCTACTGTATTGGAGACTACTGTAATGGAGACTACCTTAGGAGAGGCTACTGTAATGGAGACTACTGTAGTGGAGACTACTGTAGTGGAGACTACTGTAGGGGAGGCTACTGTATTGGAGACTACTGTAAAGGAGACTACCTTAGGAGAGGCTTCTGTAGGGGAGGCTACTGTAGGGGAGACTACTGTAGGGGAGGCTACTGTAGTGGAGGCTACTGTAATGGAAACTACTGTAGTGGAGGCTACTGTAATGGAGACTACTGTAGTGGAGACTACTGTAGGGGAGGCTACTGTATTGGAGACTACTGTAATGGAGACTACCTTAGGAGAGGCTTCTGTAGGGGAGGCTACTGTAGGGGAGACTACTGTAGGGGAGGCTACTGTAGGGGAGACTACTGTGGGGGAGACTACTGTTGGGGAGACTACTGTAGGGGAGACTACTGTAGTGGAGGCTACTGTAATGGAAACTACTGTAGTGGAGGCTACTGTAATGGAGACTACTGTAATGGAGACTACCTTAGGAGAGGCTTCTGTAGGGGAGGCTACTGTAGGGGAGACTACTGTAGGGGAGGCTACTGTAGGGTAGGGGGGCTACTGTAGGGTGGCTACTGTAGGTGAGATAACTGTAGTGGAGACTACAGTAGGGGGGCTACTGTAGGGTGGCTACTGTAGGTGAGATAACTGTAGTGGAGACTACTGTAGTGGAGACTACTGTACGGGAGACTACTGTAGGGGAGGCTACTGTAGGTGAGACTACTGTAGTGGAGACTACTGTAGGGGGGCTACTGTAGAGGAGGCTACTGTAGGTGAGATAACTGTAGTGGAGACTACTGTAGTGGAGACTACTGTACGGGAGACTACTGTAGGGGAGGCTACTGTAGGTGAGACTACTGTAGTGGAGACTACTGTAGGGGGGCTACTGTAGGGGAGGCTACTGTAGGGGAGACTACTGTAGTGGAGACTACTGTAGGGGAGACTACTGTAGGGAAGGCTACTGTAGGTGAGACTACTGTAGTGGAGACTACTGTAGGGGGGCTACTGTAGAGGAGGCTACTGTAGGGGAGACTACTGTAGTGGACAATACTGTAATGGAGACTACCTAAGGAGAGGCTACTGTGGGGGATGCTACTGTACGGGAGACTACTGTAGGGGAAGCTACTGTGGGGGAGGCTACTGTAGGGGAGGCTGTTGTAGGGGAGGCTACTGTAGGGGAGACTACTGTAGGGGAAGCTACTGTGGGGGAGACTACTGTAGGGGAGACTGCTGTAGGGGAGACTACTGTAGGGTGACTACTGTAAGGGAGACTACTGTGGGGGAGACTACTGTAGGGGAGACTACTGTAGGGGAGGCTACTGTGGGGAAGACTACTGTGGGGGAGACTACTGTAGGGGAGACTACTGTAGGGTGACTACTGTAGGGGAGACTACTGTGGGGGAGACTACTGTAGGGGAGACTACTGTGGGGGAGACTACTGTTGGGGAGACTACTGTAGGGGAGACTACTGTAGGGGAGGCTACTATGGGGGAGACTACTGTAGGGGAGACTACTGAAGGGTGACTACTGTAGGGGAGACTACTGTGGGGAGACTACTGTAGGGGAGACTACTGTAGTGGAGACTACTATAATGGAGACTACCTTAGGGGAGGCTTCTGTAGGGGAGACTAATGTAGGGGAGACTACTGTAGGTGAGGCTACTGTAGTGGAGATTACTGTAGGGGGGCTACTGTAGGGAAGGCTACTGTAGGGTGGCTACTGTAGGTGAGACTACTGTAGTGGAGACTACTGTGGGGGGGCTACTGTAGGGGAGGCTACTGTAGGGGAGACTACTGTAGTGGAGACTACTGTGGGGGGGGCTACTGTAGGGGAGACTACTGTAGGGGAGACTACTGTAGTGGAGAATACTGTAATGGAGACTACCTAAGGAGAGGCTACTGTGGGGGATGCTACTGTACGGGAGACTACTGTAGGGTGACTACTGTAGGGGAGGCTACTGTAGGTGAGACTACTGTAGGGGAGACTACTGTAGGGTGACTACTGTAGGGGAGGCTACTGTAGGTGAGACTACTGTAGGGGAGGCTACTGTAGGGTGACTACTGTAGGGGAGGCTACTGTAGGTGAGACTACTGTAGGGGAGACTACTGTAGGGAAGACTACTGTAGTGGAGACTAATGTGGGGGAGACTACTGTGGGGGAGACTACTGTAGGGGAGGCTACTGTGGGGGAGACTACTGTAGGGGAGACTACTGTAGGGGAGGCTACTGTAGGTGAGACTACTGTAGGTGAGACTACTGTGGGGGAGACTACTGTAGGGGAGACTAATGTGGGGGAGACTACTGTGGGGGAGACTACTGTAGGGGAGGCTACTGTGGGGGAGACTACTGTAGGGGAGACTACTGTAGGGTGACTACTGTAGGGGAGGCTACTGTAGGTGAGACTACTGTAGGTGAGACTACTGTAGGGGAGACTACTGTAGGGTGACTACTGTAGGGGAGGCTACTGTAGGTGAGACTACTGTAGGGGAGGCTACTGTAGGGTGACTACTGTAGGGGAGGCTACTGTAGGTGAGACTACTGTAGGGGAGACTACTGTAGGGAAGACTACTGTAGTGGAGACTAATGTGGGGGAGACTACTGTGGGGGAGACTACTGTAGGGGAGGCTACTGTGGGGGAGACTACTGTAGGGGAGACTACTGTAGGGGAGGCTACTGTAGGTGAGACTACTGTAGGTGAGACTACTGTGGGGGAGACTACTGTAGGGGAGACTAATGTGGGGGAGACTACTGTGGGGGAGACTACTGTAGGGGAGGCTACTGTGGGGGAGACTACTGTAGGGGAGACTACTGTAGGGTGACTACTGTAGGGGAGGCTACTGTAGGTGAGACTACTGTAGGTGAGACTACTGTAGGGAAGACTACTGTAGGTGAGACTACTGTAGGGAAGACTACTGTAGGTGAGACTACTGTAGGGAAGACTACTGTAGGGAAGACTACTGTAGGGAAGACTACTGTAGGTGAGACTACTGTAGTGGAGACTACTGTAGGGAAGACTACTGTAGGTGAGACTACTGTAGGGGAGACTACTGTAGGGGAGACTACTGTAGGGAAGACTACTGTAGGGAAGACTACTGTAGGGGAGACTACTGTAGTGGAGACTACTGTAGGGAAGACTACTGTAGTGGAGACTACTGTAGGGGGAGTTTATTCTGTGACAGTTATTTACAGTGTAATGCATTGAAGGAACAGGTTATAGTTCCAGTGATAACCTTAAGGATAAGGGAATTGCAAGAAAGAGAATTTTATCACATCTGTTTTATTAGTATTCGTACATTTGAGGACCATTATCTACATTTCTATATACCTGATAAAATGGAAATTGTACAGTCACCAGAAAGAGATCGTCAAATTATTTCTCCATAAAAGAAACTAGGTTGTATCGGTATAGTAAATGCAAATAAATGTTTTTTGTTTCAGGTCACTCAAAACTATCTGCAGACACTTGATGAGAAGTTCAAACAGTTAATAATAGCTCGACAGAAACTTTCACAGATCACAGGCATGTTTTATTCTCCTTGTCCTTTTTAGGATTTTTCATGTACATATTTCTTTTGTTAACATTTTTAACTTGTTTCACCAATTTTTTGTTTGAATAAGGATTCTGTTGACATGTTAATATTTTCTTACTTTTTGATTTTAGAAATAAAAAGATATCTTTCTTGTTTAATTTTTTAAATATTGACCAAAGATAGATGGAAGCTGTTTATTTCTTAATAATTTTGTAATGCTCATACATATAAATTGTGCGAAAATTACACAAACACTGATAAGTAAAATTTCAAAAAGATACGTTATAGACAAACACTGAAATAAACTGCATCTTACAGCTGTTTCATCTTTCTAGGGTTCGTCAGTGATGCTAAAACTCTAAATGTTAAACCTAGGAAGTGACTGAGGAAAAAATTATTTTCAAACTATTTACAGGCCAGACACAACAGACAGAGAACCAAATCCGCAAGGTCCAGAACTCTGTAGGAGGTGTGACATTGGATGTACAACAACAGAACCTTAATCTATTATATAATCAGCGGTCGAGTCTCAACCGAATGACAGAAGACATCAACCACACCATAAAAGAAATGGCCACACAACTTGTAGCAATACGGAAGGTATGTGTCAGCTGATTCTTACAGAAAAGTTTGAGAACATTGGCTGTAATATATTGTTTTGTGTGTGATGGAGCTATTTGGTGTATACTTCATTCACTCTTGACCCCTTGTTAAATAGTACATTATAGTATACATTTTCTATATTAGACAATCATAAGTTTACGGAGAAACTAGAGATACTGGACTGAGAAAACAACTTGATTAATTATTTTTTCACCAAGTTTTGTCTAAATTATTAAGTTTGAAGTAACTTTTCATTAGTATATGTTGCAAGTAAGCCCTATTACATCAAAGGTATGAATTATTTTGGTATTTTCGCTGTGTTAATTGCTTGTTAGTGCTGTAAGAACAACCATCTCAAAAACTCACAAAAAACATTACTTTTCATATTTAAGTGTCCTGCAGTTTCACAGAAACAACAGCCATGTATTTACTCATCCTTTATTGTCATGTCTTGTTTTGATGTTAAAGATCTTAAACATCCTTAAATATCTTGTATTGATCTTGTTTGACAGGATTTCGCAGAGAATTTTCAGCAGACACATGGTGAACTTGAGGTTCTCCAGAAACTGGTTAATCAGGAGGTATTGTCTTGGAATGTACAACAGAGATTGGCGGGCAACGGAGCTGAGTTTGACCTTCGAGCTCTGGCAAATATACAAAACTGGTCAGTTTGTTTCAATGAATTAGAATGAAGTCTTCTAGTTGTTGTGAAGCCTATATATCTATAGGAAAGGTTTTACCATCATTGTTGGAGAATTTCTTTTATTTTTCATCACATTTTTTAACCTTTATCTGGTTTATTTGGGGCATCAAATGTTTATCTTGTCCTGAACTTAATGTTCTTTCTACTTCCCTTACATTCACCAAAGTATGCTGAGAGGCGGTTTACACATGCTACAGTTACCCCAATATGGACTATCAATTGTTCTATCCTGACTCACTTTGCTTGTAAAGAACCAGTGTTTAGTTGTGTGAAGACGAAATCTCAAATGATTTGTGCGATGCACCAATAGATTTCAGTAAATAATTAGCATGTAAAATGGCTCATGATTTCAATAAACCCTGAAGTAAGATTAGCTGTTAAAGGCTCGTTTGATCTAACTGGTATGACTTATCCTTCCTGACCATATCATCAGTGTGCTTTTATAGAGGACTCTTTTTAAATATTTATTTTGTTCAAATATTTTGTTCATTTTTGATCAAATCTTAATTCAAATTATAAATTTTATGATAAGTTGACTTTCTCCAAATTTTTACTTTTGTCACCCTACACAGAATAATTCCTGGTGGAAGGAAAGGATTGTCATTTACACCAATTATCTATTTTAATGAGAAACTGATTAAAACTTATTGTCAAGAGATAGAAGTTTGAGGTCAGCAGTTTAATGTCTATGTCACAGTTGCTGTAGGTTTTGTACACAACAATTAATCAAATACTTTTGGATACAATATAAAACAGGTTTGAAGGATTGGCAGACTTGACATGGAAGAATAGAAACCAGATTTCCCAGATGGAATCATTTGGAAAGGATTTCCCTATTGATGTTCCACAAGGAATACAGGACATGGTTACGAGTTTGAGTCGTTCTATCAGCAACATTCTCACTAACCTAGTCAGAAGGTAGGCACACAGGGACTGGCAGATAGTCAAGACCTAATTTAAACAGTGTACAATATCAGTCTCTTTGTTCATAATGTCATAAATGAGTTTTATCAGCAGAGTGAGAGGATCAAGCTTGTAAATGGAGACTTGTTTAAGACCTCTCTTACCATGTTTGTGGTGGGAATCACAAAAACGTGCTAATTCAATGTTTTTTCTTTAATAATGATAGACAGAGATCCGGCTGTTAGACAACTAGCTCGTGTCAGTACCTTAAAAAGCCGATGCAATATGGGGGATATTTTGTGAACACTAGATTAAATTTCCAAAGAATATTTTTAATTTACATGGCCACATGTTGAAACATTTCTGTAAAATCTAAAATGTCATTCAAATCATTTACAACTCACTCATAAAATATCAATAGATTTTATTGTAGACACAGTGAACTAACATCACCTATTTCACAAATATATTAACCTTTTACCCTTCACATGATTTTAGAAGACAGAATAACATCAAGTTTATTTTTATTCAGATATGGTACATGTACAATAACGTTACATACTAACATACATGTGTACACACAAGCGACACCCATAAACACTCCACACTGCCATACGTAGTTGTTTTGTTATTGTTTTTGTACAGTGCCTTTATAGTGGAATGTCAGCCTCCTCAAATACTGAAAGTCAACAACAAGTTCACAGCCAAAGTGAGGCTCTTGCTCGGTAACAAGCTGAAAACTTACATGGATCCTCAAAAGGTGACAGCAGTTCTCCTAAGGTGAGTATATACAGCCACTCTCTGTAGCTGGATGTTTTTCATTACTGTTTCTATTTATAGATTTTGGTTTAGGGGCTTCTTGGAGATATCAAAACTGTGCTGCTGTTGTCTTTCTGTAAGAATGTCAGGATTCTGTCCAAATTTGGTCAGCAGCATCCTTATACTTCAATGGTGGGTCTCGGCTCTTGGGCAGGAGTGGTTATGGGCCCACTAGGGAAAATGGAGCAGATTCTTCTTTAAAATCCTTCTTTGTCTGAAGGAATGCCAGGATTCTGTCCCTTTTTTTGGTGGAAATACTAATTCTGTCTCAATTTGGTCTGAAACATATGTGGTTGAAAAGAACTGTTTTGTACAAACTAGGAGCCTGGCCATTTCTGGGGCGAAAGGTGTGGGTGCGTGAGGTCCTTTTCCCATACAAGGATATTGTTGAAGTTTGATCCAGAGTATTCTTAAGTGAAGAGGAATCAATTTTGTAGAAATGATAGATCTGACTTTCATTTGACGAGACAGAATGATTAATCAACCAGGTAAAAAATGCTGACCCCACAGGCCTCATGTTTTAAGATCTATCCTGGTCTTGTTAAACTGGGAGGAAAAAACTAAATGGGACTTACTGGTTTGCAGATACAATGCACGAAAATATTTCTGTTGAAATTCTTGCTCAGTGTATCTCTTAGTTTCATTTGATTTTTATTTTCATTCTACAGCGAGCGTCAGTTAAGCCGGCTGCAGGAATGTGAAATTCCACACCAATTTAAGGAGACTTCTGGCAAACTGTTAAATGACAATGGGCGCATGGAGTACAATGAAACAACACGAGAACACAGTGTTTCCCTGAAGAGTATGGTAAATAGACATCTATATGTCCTTCAGAGCATCTCCAAAGCTCCAAGTACAGACTTAATATGCTCTCATAACAAAATCTTCAGAAAAATTCATTCATGTATGTGTTTACTTTGAATGACATCACCTATGTTTTACAGAAATAAGTTGGAAAAGCTCCCGTTTTAACCATACTTCTCCAGTATTATGATATCCTGGTATAATATCTGAGGATAAAGAGTGATTTGCCTTTAGCTCTTGGACACACTCAATGACATACTGTGGCCATCATTTTAATACCAGAAAAGTGTATCTAGATTCTAATAAAGTAACTTGCGATGCTCACTCTCTGTTGAAATAACTTGATTATACTTTGTTTTTTTTTCCAGCAACTCCAAAAAATAAACCGTGCTGACAGAAAACAGGTAACGTGATTCTGTTGATGGTTACTTTTGTTTTCTCTGGTGTAGAATTTTAGAAATAAAATTAGAAAATGAACTAGATTGTCAGTAGGACTAAAGATGGTCTCCCAATAAACTACACAACATTTTAGGTAAAGAGGGCCCATTTTTCTCAGAACTTGAAAACGTGTTCTCAGTTTGTCAGTCTGTCACTTTATAAGCCTGTTGTAGATACCTAGTTTTTTTTCCAAATGGAAATGTAATATACGGGATCCTAGGTAATGATAATAGAGGCATAATATACTCATTCTGGGATAATAATAGAGGTTTACATGTAATACATAATGGATCCTGGGTAATGATAATAGAGGTGTCATATACTGCATCCTGGGTAATAATAGAGGTGTCATATACTGATCCCTGGGTAATTTTAATAGAGGTGTCATATACTGCATCCTGGGTAATAATAGAGGTGTCATATACTGCATCCTGGGTAATAATAGAGGTGTCACATACTGCATCCTGGGTAATAATAGAGGTGGCACATACTGCATCCTGAGTAATAATAGAGGTGTCACATACTGCATCCTGGGTAATAATAGAGGTGTCATATACTGCATCCTTGATAATGATAGAGGTGTCATATACTGCATCCTGAGTAATAATAGAGGTGTCATATACTGAATGCTGGGTAATAATAGAGGTGTCATATACTGCATCCTTGGTAATAATAGAGGCATAATATACAGGACCCTGAGTAATAATAGAGATGTTATATATTGCATCCTGGGTGATAGTAGAGGTGGTAATAGAGATGTTGTATACTGATCCCTGGATGATAATGGAGGTGTACATGTAATACATATGGAATCCTGAGTGATAGTAGAGGTGACATTTGAGATGTTGTATAATAGATAAAAAAATTTCATTTCTATCTATCTTTTCAGAATGTGACAGAAGAGAAATTTTGTATTGTGTTTAAGTCAACATTCCAGATTGGAAACCAAGAACAATTTGTTTGGGTAAGTTTATCATTAAGTATAAACTTTGGATTGAGAGAAACAACTTTATTCTTGATGTTTTCCACCTTCCACAAACTCAGAGGTATCAAAATATATTGTATGATGATGATTACTATGTCAAAATGATGTATTGATATCATAGTGATGTATTATGTCATAGTGATGTATTATGTCATAGTGATGTATTATGTCATAGTGATGAAATGATGTCATATTGATGTATAATATCATAGTGATGTATAATGTCATAGTGATGTATTATGTCAGTGATGAAATGATGTCATAGTGATGTATAATATCATAGTGATGTATAATGTCATAGTGATGTATGATGTCATAGTGATGTTGCAAAGTCATGTTAAGATAAAGTATCTATGACAATGATAAATATCAATTACATGTGATGCAATAGGATGTCTTCATGTGTGTTTTGTTTTACTTCTGTGTCTATGTGAAAAGCTTACAAAAATAGAATACACTACACAGAAATATATTTATATACACATTATCGTAACATTACAGCTACAGACATTAAACAAAGCCACAATATTGTCACATTACAGTAACTAGTTCCAGCTACAGACATTAAACAAAGACACAATATTGTCACATTACAGTAACTAGTTCCAGTTACAGACATTAAACAAAGACACAATATTGTCACATTACAGTAACTAGTTCCAGTTACAGACATTAAACAAAGACACAATATTGTCACATTACAGTAACTAGTTCCAGTTACAGACATTAAACAACGACACAATATTGTCACATTACAGTAACTAGTTCCAGTTACAGACATTAAACATAGACACAATATTGTCACATTACAGTGACTAGTTCCAGTTACAGACATTAAACAGACACAATATCTTCACATTACAGTAACTAGTTCCAGTTACAGACATTAAACAAAGCCATAGTATTGTCACATTACAGTAACTAGTTCCTGTTACAGACATTAAACAAAGCCACAATATTGTCACATTACAGTAACTAATTCCAGTTACAGACATTAAACAAAGACACAATATTGTCACATTACAGTAACTAGTTCCAGTTACAGACATTAAACAAAGACACAATATTGTCACATTACAGTAACTAATTCCAGTTACAGACATTAAACAAAGACACAATATTGTCACATTACAGTAACTAGTTCCAGTTACAGACGTTAAACAAAGACACAATATTGTCACATTACAGTAACTAGTTCCAGTTACAGACATTAAACAAAGACATAATATTGTCACATTACAGTAACTAGTTCCAGTTACAGACGTTAAACAAAGACACAATATTGTCACATTACAGTAACTAGTTCCAGCTACAGACATTAAGCAAAGCCACAATATTGTCACATTACAGTAACTAGTTCCAGTTACAGACGTTAAACAAAGCCACAATATCTTCACATTACAGTAACTAGTTCCAGTTACAGACATTAAACAAAGCCATAATATTGTCACATTACAGTAACTAGTTCCAGTTACAGACATTAAACAAAGCCACAATATTGTCACATTACAGTAACTAGTTCCAGTTACAGACATTAAACAAAGACACAATATTGTCACATTACAGTAACTAGTTCCAGTTACAGACATTAAACAAAGACACAATATTGTCACATGACAGTAACTAATTCCAGTTACAGACATTAAACAAAGACACAATATTGTCACATTACAGTAACTAGTTCCAGTTACAGACATTAAACAAAGACACAATATTGTCACATTACAGTAACTAGTTCCAGTTACAGACATTAAACAAAGACACAATATTGTCACATTACAGTAACTAGTTACAGTTACAGACGTTAAACAAAGACACAATATTGTCACATTACAGTAACTAGTTCCAGCTACAGACATTAAGCAAAGCCACAATATTGTCACATTACAGTAACTAGTTCCAGTTACAGACGTTAAACAAAGTCACAATATCTTCACATTACAGTAACTAGTTCCAGTTACAGACATTAAACAAAGACACAATATTGTCACATTACAGTAACTAGTTCCAGTTACAGACGTTAAACAAAGACACAATATTGTCACATTACAGTAACTAGTTCCAGCTACAGACATTAAGCAAAGCCACAATACTGTCACATTACAGTAACTAGTTCCAGTTACAGACGTTAAACAAAGCCACAATATCTTCACATTACAGTAACTAGTTCCAGTTACAGACATTAAACAAAGCCATAATATTGTCACATTACAGTAACTAGTTCCAGTTACAGACATTAAACAAAGCCACAATATTGTCACATTACAGTAACTAGTTCCAGTTACAGACATTAAACAAAGACACAATATTGTCACATTACAGTAACTAGTTCCAGTTACAGACATTAAACAAAGACACAATATTGTCACATTACAGTAACTAATTCCAGTTACAGACATTAAACAAAGACACAATATTGTCACATTACAGTAACTTGTTCCAGTTACAGACGTTAAACAAAGACACAATATTGTCACATTACAGTAACTAGTTCCAGTTACAGACATTAAACAAAGACACAATATCTTCACATTACAGTAACTAGTTCCAGTTACAGACATTAAACAAAGCCATAGTATTGTCACATTACAGTAACTAGTTCCTGTTACAGACATTAAACAAAGCCACAATATTGTCACATTACAGTAACTAGTTCCAGTTACAGACATTAAACAAAGACACAATATTGTCACATTACAGTAACTAATTCCAGTTACAGACATTAAACAAAGACACAATATTGTCACATTACAGTAACTAGTTCCAGTTACAGACGTTAAACAAAGACACAATATTGTCACATTACAGTAACTAGTTCCAGTTACAGACATTAAACAAAGACACAATATTGTCACATTACAGTAACTAGTTCCAGTTACAGACGTTAAACAAAGACACAATATTGTCACATTACAGTAACTAGTTCCAGCTACAGACATTAAGCAAAGCCACAATATTGTCACATTACAGTAACTAGTTCCAGTTACAGACGTTAAACAAAGCCACAATATCTTCACATTACAGTAACTAGTTCCAGTTACAGACATTAAACAAAGCCATAATATTGTCACATTACAGTAACTAGTTCCAGTTACAGACATTAAACAAAGCCACAATATTGTCACATTACAGTAACTAGTTCCAGTTACAGACATTAAACAAAGACACAATATTGTCACATTACAGTAACTAGTTCCAGTTACAGACATTAAACAAAGACACAATATTGTCACATGACAGTAACTAATTCCAGTTACAGACATTAAACAAAGACACAATATTGTCACATTACAGTAACTAGTTCCAGTTACAGACATTAAACAAAGACACAATATTGTCACATTACAGTAACTAGTTCCAGTTACAGACATTAAACAAAGACACAATATTGTCACATTACAGTAACTAGTTACAGTTACAGACGTTAAACAAAGACACAATATTGTCACATTACAGTAACTAGTTCCAGCTACAGACATTAAGCAAAGCCACAATATTGTCACATTACAGTAACTAGTTCCAGTTACAGACGTTAAACAAAGTCACAATATCTTCACATTACAGTAACTAGTTCCAGTTACAGACATTAAACAAAGACACAATATTGTCACATTACAGTAACTAGTTCCAGTTACAGACGTTAAACAAAGACACAATATTGTCACATTACAGTAACTAGTTCCAGCTACAGACATTAAGCAAAGCCACAATACTGTCACATTACAGTAACTAGTTCCAGTTACAGACGTTAAACAAAGCCACAATATCTTCACATTACAGTAACTAGTTCCAGTTACAGACATTAAACAAAGCCATAATATTGTCACATTACAGTAACTAGTTCCAGTTACAGACATTAAACAAAGCCACAATATTGTCACATTACAGTAACTAGTTCCAGTTACAGACATTAAACAAAGACACAATATTGTCACATTACAGTAACTAGTTCCAGTTACAGACATTAAACAAAGACACAATATTGTCACATTACAGTAACTAATTCCAGTTACAGACATTAAACAAAGACACAATATTGTCACATTACAGTAACTTGTTCCAGTTACAGACGTTAAACAAAGACACAATATTGTCACATTACAGTAACTAGTTCCAGTTACAGACATTAAACAAAGACACAATATCTTCACATTACAGTAACTAGTTCCAGTTACAGACATTAAACAAAGCCATAGTATTGTCACATTACAGTAACTAGTTCCTGTTACAGACATTAAACAAAGCCACAATATTGTCACATTACAGTAACTAGTTCCAGTTACAGACATTAAACAAAGACACAATATTGTCACATTACAGTAACTAATTCCAGTTACAGACATTAAACAAAGACACAATATTGTCACATTACAGTAACTAGTTCCAGTTACAGACGTTAAACAAAGACACAATATTGTCACATTACAGTAACTAGTTCCAGTTACAGACATTAAACAAAGACACAATATTGTCACATTACAGTAACTAGTTCCAGTTACAGACATTAAACAAAGACACAATATTGTCACATTACAATAACTAGTTCCAGCTACAGACATTAAGCAAAGCCACAATATTGTCACATTACAGTAACTAGTTCCAGTTACAGACGTTAAACAAAGCCACAATATCTTCACATTACAGTAACTAGTTCCAGTTACAGACATTAAACAAAGACACAATATTGTCACATTACAGTAACTAGTTCCAGTTACAGACATTAAACAAAGACACAATATTGTCACATTACAGTAACTAGTTCCAGTTACAGACATTAAACATAGACACAATATTGTCACATTACAGTAACTTGTTCCAGTTACAGACATTAAACAGACACAATATCTTCACATTACAGTAACTAGTTCCAGTTACAGACATTAAACAAAGCCACAATATTGTCACATTACAGTAACTAGTTCTAGTTACAGACATTAAACAAAGCCACAATATCTTCACATTACAGTAACTAGTTCCAGTTACAGGCATTAAACAAAGACACAATATTGTCACATTACAGTAACTAGTTCCAGTTACAGGCATTAAACAAAGACAATGGCTCTGGTTCCATCTAAAATATTTTTCCTGACTTCATTATTATGTTGCATTTGTTGTTTAATAAGTGTATTAATGATTATGATATTAACTGTTATCTTAACTTCTTATTTTTTACAGACGAAATCTAATCCCATTGTTGTAATTGTCCATGGCAGTCAGGAATGTCGAGCGATGGCCACAATTATGTGGGACAACCAGTTTGCCCTACCAGTAAGTAAGATAGTGGTCCCAAGACAGACATCCAAAGATCGAAATATAATCTCTGAGATGGAAATCAAAAGATAATGATTTAGAATAGAATTCCTAACATAGAATTCAAAGACAGAAGTCGAAATATAAAAGTCTTAAGAAAGATACCCAAATAGAGAGGCCCAAAGATAGAATAGATAGAGACCAAAAATAGAATAGATAGAGACCAAAAACAGAATAGCTAGAGGCTCAACGATAGAATAGATACGGGCCCAAAGATAGAATAGATAGAGACCAAAAGATAGAATAGATAGAGGCCCAAAGATAGAATAGATAGAGACCCAAAGATAGAATAGCTAGAGGCTCAACGATAGAATAGATACGGGCCCAAAGATAGAATAGATAGAGACCAAAAATAGAATAGATAGAGGCCCAAAGATAGAATAGATAGAGGCCCAAAGATAGAATAGATAGAGGCCCAATGATAGAATAGATAGAGACCCAAAGATAGAATAGCTAGAGGCTCAACGATAGAATAGATAAGAGGCCCAAAGATAGAATAGCTAGAGGCTCAACGATAGAATAGATGGAGGCCCAAAGATAGAATAGATAGAGACCAAAAGATAGAATAGATACGGGCCCAAAGATAGAATAGATAGAGGCCCAAAGATAGAATAGATAGAGGCTCAACGATAGAATAGATGGAGGCCCAAAGATAGAATAGATAGAGACCAAAAGATAGAATAGATAGAGGCCCAAAGATAGAATAGCTAGAGGCTCAACGATAGAATAGATGGAGGCCCAAAGATAGAATAGATAGAGACCAAAAGATAGAATAGATAGAGACCAAAAGATAGAATAGATAGAGGCCCAAAGTTAGTAACCCAAAGATTGAGGTCCCAATACAGGGATTCATGATCAAAGTCTAAAGATAGAGGTCTCAACACAGGGTCTCATGATAAAGGTCGAAATATAGAGGTCCCAGGATCTGAGTTGAGAGTAGAACCCCTGATTCTGTTATGGATTCCACATAAGGTGCCTCTGACCATACAGATATCATGCCAAACATCCCTTTCTCTCCTCAAAACTGCAAGGAATAGATATATTACTTGTTTACTAAAGATTTTACCAACTAAAGGTCTGCTCTCACATCTTAAGGTGCTTTAATGGTCTGCTATTTCTTTTGTTTCTCTATTTGTAGGAAAGACAGATGTTTGAAGTGCCAGACTTTGTCCCTTGGCCACAAATGTGTGAGCTTCTTAGCTGTAAGTTTAAACAGATGACACAGCGTGGACTGGCAAAGGATGACTTGGACTATCTAGCTCACAAGATCTTTCAAGGTAACCTTAAAACTACATGTAGCTTAATAACATCACTACATTCCTTTATTAGGAAACAGTGAATGGAAATGATGGTCATTTTTTTTTGCCTCCTCCATTTCATGAGATGGATATATTGTGTCCCACTGTCACGTCATATTTCATCGAATCCCATCCCTGTTGTGTCTCGTTGTGTCCTGTTCCAAATCCATATCATGTCTTAAGAACCTCTGTATAGTTTTGCTTCATATTTACCCCATAGTATTATAACATCAAGTTCTACACATAACAATATTAAGGTGGTCATTGGTCAAGGTTAAAGGGTCATAGGTCAAAGTTTGAAACATGCAGGAAGATATTTTGTTTTGATACTAATATGGTTCACAAGCAGGAGAAGAACACCTGAAATGAGTTTATGTTTCAGCAACAGTAAGATCAAGACAAAAGTGAAAGTCACAGAACAATTACTATAACAAAATTTATTTTCAGGAAGCCAGGAAGTAGAAGATTACTCACCGTACAGCATCACCTGGGGACAATTTGTCAAGGTATGATATTGAATACAAGTATTTTCAAAAACTACCTCTTTTCTTTGTAGTTTAAAGTCATACTTTTATTTAACTATCTCTTATATATATTGAAATTCATATTTAATTTTCTGAATGAAAAAAGTTTTTTTTAGTCTGTCTCCTGCCATAAAGTTATGTGTTGTTGATTAGAGCCATAACTGAGTGGGGTCTTTCAGTCGAGGACTCCCAACACTATAGTCCAGGGTTATATATATCCCTCAGTCAGATCTTCATAGTAGTAAGTTTATAGCCTGACGATATATCACATACACTACATGTCTATCTATATATCATCCCCATTATAGAAGATACAAAATTTTACCACAAGTATTACAGCTTTCTTTGATAAATTTATGTGTATTAGCTAAATGTGGTGATCATCCTTAATTTACTAGTGCCTGTAAGCGAAAAAACCTACCACTGAACACAGTGTTATCGTTTTTTTTGTAAGTTACTCTCAGTTCACATACAGTTTACAAAATATTCATTGCTATTGTCTAAAATGTCAGTAATATGTAAAACTAAATGGAGCTGCTGCTATGTTTAATATTCTATCAATTTTTCTTAATGAGACTGATTCATCTGTTATCATTTGGTCCATTAGTCCACAGAATCTTAAACATCTTTTACCTGAAAAAAAACTTAATATGAGCATGAACCCACATTTTGTTTTACTTGTTTTGACAGGATAATCTACAGCTTGCCTCTGCACCTGTTGCCTTTACCTTCTGGGACTGGTTCCACAGTATCTTAAAACTAACAGCAAAACACCTAAGGGAATTATGGCAGGACGGGTAAGGCTAAAACATTGGTAGTATAATATTGTATTCTTACATACAACAAGAAGTTCCAAATACAATCTTTCTTATTTTGATTCTACAAAAACCAAACTAATTCATCATTTCTGAAAAAAAAAATGTCCAGAAAATGTTATCTGTTTGTGTCATAATTTATAAGAAAATGTTATCGGTTTGTGTCGTAATTTATAAGAATATATTATCTTTTTGTGTCGTAATTTATAAGAATATGTTATCTGTTTGTGTCATAATTTATAAGAATATATTATCTGTTTGTGTCATAATTTATAAGAATATGTTATCTGTTTGTGTCATAATTTATAAGAATATATTATCTGTTTGTGTCATAATTTATAAGAAAATGTTATCTGTTAGTGTCGTAATTTATAGGAATATATTATCTGTTTGTGTCGTAATTTATAAGAAAAAAGTTACGACTTAGAATGCAATATTATAACCTTTAATGATGCAAAAGTGTCAAGCTTAGAAATACATGGAGATATTGTAACTCATTAAAAAATTCTAACTATATAAATTGGTTTATTATCACCATAGCTATAAATAAGGATGGAAACCTAATAAAAATCAATTCATTACAATAGGTAAAACAACCATGGACCACTTATTGCACAAGTTTTAATTTCTAGATACATGTAAGTACCTGAAGCAACCTTTCGGTCAAAGTTCACCCTGTCAACCAATCAAAACATGTTGAGGTGTTACACCACATGTGGTATGTGTTTCCACAGCAGTTGGAAATGCTTTGGTTGTTAAATGATACCCAACTACATGTATTTTGGTAGAAAGATATTATCTCAATATAACTTGAATGGCATTTCTTTTATTTTTTTTTGGTCTTTATTTCTAGTTGCATTGTTGGATTCATCAGCCGTCCAAAGGCAGAGAAACAACTCCTTAGTGTGAAAAATGGGAATTTTCTGTTACGCTTCAGTGAATCCGAGTTGGGCGGTGTCACAGTTGGCTGGGTTGATAATGTTACACAACAGCACGGTAATTATAAATGTTCTTTACTGAATTATGACAAATTAAAATATTTACCTCTCAATAGATTTCATTCCTATTTTTACAATAGTGTTGTTAAACCAGTTCTACTGCTTGTTATAGAAGTTTGTAAGATGATCTACAGTCATAATTAAAAGGTCAGAGGTCGCATTATGCTTGGGAATGAGAGCATTCATGTCTGACAGACATTTTCAAGTTTAACGTTTGAAAACTGTCTTTATTACTTTTTTAACAACACTTAAAAAAGCAATTTTCAATAGAAATAACTATCTAATCACTCAATAAAACACCAATTGATAACTTTAATATTTGTGTATTATTATGATTTAAAAATTTTGGTAAGCTAATATCAAATATCTGTGATATAGGTGATGGCACAAAAGAGACAAGAGAGGTTAACTTTGCACAACCATACGAGGGAGATGACTTTAGTGTGAAGAGTCTCGCTGAAAGAGTCAAAGATGTAGACAAACTTTTATACCTGTATCCAGACATACCTAAGGACCAGGCATTCAAAAAATACTGGCTTCCGTTTCCAGGTAAACTATTACAGGAATTGTGTATAAGGTCACGAGACGGATTATTTTTCCAGGTAAATTGTTACCAGAGTTGTTAACTCTGTCATCAAATACAATATATTGTAAGCAAAGAAGTCCAGGTAAATTAATAGCTGAGGTGTCCGGGGAAATTGTTAACTGAGGTGTCCAGATAAATTGTTAGCTGAGGTGTCCAGGTAAATTGATAGCTGAAGTGTCCAGGTAAATTGTTAGCTGAGGTTTCCAGGTAAATTGCTAGCTAAGGTTTCCATGTATATTGTTATCTAAGGTTTCCAGGTAAATTGTTGGCTAAGTCGTCCAGGTAAATTGTTGGCTAAGTCGTCCAGGTAAATTGTTGGCTAAGTCGTCCAGGTAAATTGTCACCTTTCACTTACCTGGAATTAATTAACATTGTAAGCTTGTTGCAATTCTCTTTCATAGTTTACACTCTTTTCTTAATTTGAATATTTTTGTTTCAGGAAGGAATTCAAGAAAGCCACACAATCCTCGTTACAAGCACATGGGAACTTTGATACAAGATATCATGTAAGTTTTTATCTGATTTAAGTGAGATGTTTGAGTAGACAGGTTATTTTCTGTTTTTCTGCTTTAAAAATATTAACCACAAACACTTCTGATTATTTTCATCTTCTTAATGTAACCTCCAAGCTTGTTCTCTAGTCCCAGATATATTCTTGTTTATGTTGTTGAATTATGACCAAGGACTGATAAGATAGTTTGGTGTGAAGATATACTTTTAGATAACTACTACAGTGTAAAGCAAATAGATTTAACAATATTTATTCAATTTTTTGTGACTAACCTGAGATTTACCATGATAATGTCTACTGGCAAAATTGGAATATCTTTCATACGGGTAGAGTATATTCTTGTAAGTGTGTGGAAATCAAATTGAGGTTTTGTGATTTTTGTGCACATTGAATGAAAAGAAGTAATAACTGCAAGCCAGGTGAATATTCTGCTAGAAAATCATTTAAAGTGATAATAATGATATGATTCATGTAAATTTTCTTTACTCTGTGTGAGATTACCTGGATATTTATCTAGTCTGTGTGAGATTACCTGGATATTTATCTAGTCTGTATCAGTGTACATGGATATTTATCTAGTCTGTGTCAGATTACCTGGATATTTATCTAGTCTGTGTCAGATTACCTGGATATTTATCTAGTCTGTGTCAGTGTACCTGGATATTTATCTAGTCTGTGTCATATTACCTGGATATCTATCTAGTCTGTGTCAGATTACCTGGATATTTATCTAGTCTGTGTCAGATTACCTGGATATTTATCTAGTCTGTGTCAGATTACCTGGATATTTATCTAGTCTGTGTCAGATTACCTGGATATTTATCTAGTCTGTGTCAGATTACCTGGATATTTATCTAGTCTGTGTCAGATTACCTGGATATTTATCTAGTCTGTGTCAGATTACCTGGATATTTATCTAGTCTGTGTCAGATTATGTGGATATTTATCTAGTCTGTGTCAGATTACCTGGATATTTATCTAGTCTGTGTCAGATTACCTGGATATTTATCTAGTCTGTGTCAGATTACCTGGATATTTATCTAGTCTGTGTCTATGTGGATATTTATCTAGTCAGTGTCAGTGTACCTGGATATTTATCTAGTCTGTGTCAGATTACCTGGATATTTATCTAGTCTGTGTCAGTGTACCTGGATATTTATCTAGTCTGTGTCAGTGTACCTGGATATTTATCTAGTCTGTGTCAGTGTACCTGGATATTTATCTAGTCTGTGTCAGATTACCTGGATATTTATCTAGTCTGTGTCAGTGTACCTGGATATTTATCTAGTCTGTGTCAGTGTACCTGGATATTTATCTAGTCTGTGTCAGTGTACCTGGATATTTATCTAGTCTGTGTCAGATTATGTGGATATTTATCTAGTCTGTGTCAGTGTACCTGGATATTTATCTAGTCTGTGTCAGTGTACCTGGATATTTATCTAGTCTGTGTCAGATTACCTGGATATTTATCTAGTCTGTGTCAGTGTACCTGGATATTTATCTAGTCTGTGTCAGATTACCTGGATATTTATCTAGTCTGTGTCAGATTATGTGGATATTTATCTAGTCTGTGTCAGATTATGTGGATATCTATCTAGTCTGTGTCAGATTACCTGGATATTTATCTAGTCTGTGTCAGATTATGTGGATATTTATCTTGTTTGTGTCAGATTATGTGGATATTTATCTAGTCTGTGTCAGATTATGTGGATATTTATCTTGTCTGTGTCAGATTATGTGGATATTTATCTAGTCTGTGTCAGATTATGTGGATATTTATCTAGTCTGTGTCAGATTATGTGGATATTTATCTTGTCTGTGTCAGATTATGTGGATATTTATCTAGTCTGTGTGAGATAACCTGGATATTTATCTAGTCTGTGTCAGATTACCTGGATATTTATCTAGTCTGTGTCAGATTACCTGGATATTTATCTAGTCTGTGTCAGATTACCTGGATATTTATCTAGTCTGTGTCAGTGTACCTGGATATTTATCTAGTCTGTGTCAGATTACCTGGATATTTATCTAGTCTGTGTCAGTGTACCTGGATATTTATCTAGTCTGTGTCAGTGTACCTGGATATTTATCTAGTCTGTGTCATATTACCTGGATATCTATCTAGTCTGTGTCATATTACCTGGATATTTATCTAGTCTGTGTCAGTGTACCTGGATATTTATCTAGTCTGTGTCAGTGTACCTGGATATTTATCTAGTCTGTGTCAGATTATGTGGATATTTATCTAGTCTGTGTCAGATTATGATATTTATGTCTGTGTCAGATTATGTGGATATTTATCTAGTCTGTGTCAGATTACCTGGATATTTATCTAGTCTGTATCAGTGTACATGGATATTTATCTAGTCTGTGTCAGATAACCTGGATATTTATCTAGTCTGTGTCATATTACCTGGATATCTATCTAGTCTGTGTCATATTACCTGGATATTTATCTAGTCTGTGTCAGTGTACCTGGATATTTATCTAGTCTGTGTCAGATTACCTGGATATTTATCTAGTCTGTGTCAGTGTACCTGGATATTTATCTTGTCTGTGTCAGATTATGTGGATATTTATCTAGTCTGTGTCAGATTTCCTGGATATTTATCTAGTCTGTGTCAGATTATGTGGATATTTATCTAGTCTGTGTCAGATTACCTGGATATTTATCTAGTCTGTGTCAGTGTACCTGGATATTTATCTAGTCTGTGTCAGATTACCTGGATATTTATCTAGTCTGTGTCAGATTTCCTGGATATTTATCTAGTCTGTGTCAGATTATGTGGATATTTATCTAGTCTGTGTCAGATTACCTGGATATTTATCTAGTCTGTGTCAGATTACCTGGATATTTATCTAGTCTGTGTCAGTGTACCTGGATATTTATCTAGTCTGTGTCAGTGTACCTGGATATTTATCTAGTCTGTGTCAGTGTACCTGGATATTTATCTAGTCTGTGTCAGATTACCTGGATATTTATCTAGTCTGTGTCAGATTACCTGGATATTTATCTAGTCTGTGTCAGTGTACCTGGATATTTATCTAGTCTGTGTCAGATTACCTGGATATTTATCTAGTCTGTGTCAGATTACCTGGATATTTATCTAGTCTGTGTCAGTGTACCTGGATATTTATCTAGTCTGTGTCAGTGTACCTGGATATTTATCTAGTCTGTGTCAGATTACCTGGATATTTATCTAGTCTGTGTCAGTGTACCTGGATATTTATCTAGTCTGTGTCAGATTACCTGGATATTTATCTAGTCTGTGTCAGATTACCTGGATATTTATCTAGTCTGTGTCAGTGTACCTGGATATTTATTTAGTCTGTGTCAGATTACCTGGATATTTATCTAGTCTGTGTCAGTGTACCTGGATATTTATCAAGTCTGTGTGAGATTACCTGGATATTTATCTAGTCTGTGTCAGATTACCTGGATATTTATCAAGTCTGTGTCATATTACCTGGATATTTATCTAGTCTGTGTCATATTACCTGGATATTTATCTAGTCTGTGTCATATTACCTGGATATTTATCTAGTCTGTGTCATATTACCTGGATATTTATCTAGTCTGTGTCAGATTATGTGGATATTTATCTAGTCTGTGTCAGTGTACCTGGATATTTATCTAGTCTGTGTCAGATTATGTGGATATTTATCTAGTCTGTGTCAGATTACCTGGATATTTATCTAGTCTGTGTCAGATTATGTGGATATTTATCTAGTCTGTGTCAGTGTACCTGGATATTTATCTAGTCTGTGTCAGATTACCTGGATATTTATCTATTCTGTGTCAGTGTACCTGGATATTTATCTAGTCTGTGTCAGTGTACCTGGATATTTATCTAGTCTGTGTCAGATTACCTGGATATTTATCTAGTCTGTGTCAGTGTACCTGGATATTTATTTAGTCTGTGTCAGTGTACCTGGATATTTATTTAGTCTGTGTCAGTGTACCTGGATATTTATCTAGTCTGTGTCAGTGTACCTGGATATTTATCTAGTCTGTGTCAGTGTACCTGGATATTTATCTAGTCTGTGTCATGATTATGTGGATATTTATCTAGTCTGTGTCAGATTACCTGGATATTTATCTAGTCTGTGTCAGATTTCCTGGATATTTATCTAGTCTGTGTCAGATTACCTGGATATTTATCTAGTCTGTGTCAGTGTACCTGGATATTTATCTAGTCTGTGTCAGATTATGTGGATATTTATCTAGTCTGTGTCAGATTACCTGGATATTTATCTAGTCTGTGTCAGTGTACCTGGATATTTATTTAGTCTGTGTCAGTGTACCTGGATATTTATTTAGTCTGTGTCAGTGTACCTGGATATTTATCTAGTCTGTGTCAGTGTACCTGGATATTTATTTAGTCTGTGTCAGTGTACCTGGATATTTATCTAGTCTGTGTCATGATTATGTGGATATTTATTTAGTCTGTGTCAGTGTACCTGGATATTTATCTAGTCTGTGTCATGATTATGTGGATATTTATTTAGTCTGTGTCAGATTATGTGGATATTTATCTAGTCTGTGTCAGTGTACATGGATATTTATTAAGTCTTTTTGAGATTACTAGAATGGTTAAGAAGTTTTGTGTAACAGACACAATAATATCCTGACATGTTTGGGATATTATAAAATGTGTAATTGCCTTGTTATTAGTGCTGTACCAACACAGAATAGCGGTATGTCACGAAAACGTGAGAAATCAGCAGAAACTGAGGACAGCTTAACGGCAGAACCTCCATCAGGCAGTGGGTTAAAACGGTAAGCAATAGTAAATTTCTGTCATTTGTTTCAGCACTGTCCACCTCTAATCAGTTAGTGGACTGCTACAATATATTCCAGTTTTTTATTTTCACATTTTGTTTTAGGCAGGTCTTGTAATTTTTTATTATCACAAAATACTCCTGGTAATGACACAATAAACAGATTCATATTTTGTCAGAGTGAGAACTGTATGTAAAGGTATAATTCACAGTTATTTTGGCTTACATGATTTAAAGGCAGTCATCTGTTTATTGTTCATCAACCTTTTTTCCTTAATATCACTATCAGGCATAAATGTCAAAGTGGATTTTGGCCAAATTTGGTCAGAAGCAACTTTGGGTTAAGGGAAACAAATTGTGTACAAATGGAGGATTTTAGCCCCATGGGGCCAAAGAAATAGAATCCCAAAGAAGAAATTTGAAAATAAAATTCTACTCCTTGTTGTAGGATTGATTGGATAAATGGGAATCAATTTCTATAAATGGTCCAGGGTCTTGGCCTCTGGGTGGGGAGGGTGTGGGCCCAAAAGAGCAAATGGAGGAAATGATTTAAAATTCTTTTCCTTCTGCAGGAATGACTGGATTCTGTCTCAATTTAGTCTAAAGCATCCTCTGGTAAAGTGGTATCAGTTTTATATCAGTAGTGGTTTTCAACCCCCTGGAGCTCATGGGTTGGAGCCCAATAGTGGAAATCGTACAAATTCTTAAAAATTCTCCTTCTATAGGAATGCCAGATTTCTTTCTCATTTTAGTGTGAAACATTTTTGGAGAAGGGGAATTAACTGTGTATAAATGATGGGTGTCAGTTCCAGGGTTTAGAGGGGCAGGGCTTAGTAGGAAAATTTAACAAATACTTTAAAAACTAAAAAAATGTGAGATGAAACCTACCCTATATTTCTTCATACTTACACTAGAAAAATTCACTTGATATTTGCAGTTATAATGGAAAAATTTAAGAGTAAAATACATCTATATGTACAGGTAAGTGAAAGTCCTTGTAAATACTTGAGAGGAATAATGAACACATGGATTTGCAACAAGAAAGTTGATCATGATTGTGCAGGGCTCAGATATAATATGAATGTTTATTACTACCAAAAAAGTAAAAGACCTAATCCAAGTGAGAGTTTTACTCTTAAACTTAATAGTATCCTGTGTGAATTCCTTTGGAATGGAAAGATAGATAAAATTAAGTGAGATGTTGTTGTTTAAAATTATAGAGAGGGAGGTCTTAATATGGTTCACTTATTGTCATTTATAGAATCTTTAAAATTAAGTTGGATAAGGAGGCTTCTTCAAAAACAAGGAAAATGGCAGGAAATATTAAAAACATATATCAATACTGACCTTCTTTTTAACTGTGGTAGTAAATATATATCTGTATGTCAAAATAGAAGTACAAACTTGTTTTGGAAAGATGTTTTTAAAGCGTGGAGTAAACTTTCCTGTAAAGAAGATCTTTTAAAGGAAAAGGAACCATCATTTTTAAAACAGCCGCTATGCTATAATGAGAGGTTAACTGTAAACCAGAAGTGTGTTTTTTATCCTGAATGGTATAGATGTGGAATTACTATTTTTAATGACATGATAAAAGATTTCAACACTAATACTTTCTATACACATGATGAATTTAATGACAAATACAATATAAATACGAATTTTGTGCAATATTATGGTATCTTATCAGCAATTAGAAGATATATAAATCAGAATAATATTGGGCATAATTGCAGAGTAGATTTAGAGTATCCAATTATGCCTCTTAATTTAGAAATCATTTACAAAAACACTAAAGGAGCTAAGGACTTTTATGTAGTACTCTCAGAAAATAAGGTTATTCCAACAGGTAGGAAGAAATGGGGGGAAAACATTTGACATTAGCAACGAAAAATGGGAAAAAATATATAAAATTCCATTTCGAATAACTACAAATACAAAACTTCAATGGCTCCAAGTAAGAATTCTCCATCACATACTGACAACAAATGTATATCTATGCAAATCTGGCCTTTTAAATAACCCTTTATGTGTTTTTTGTAATCAAAATAGGGAAACAATAGTGCATACACTGTGGGACTGTTCGATAGTACAAAATTTCCTCTACAGCTTTGAAACATTATTGGATGCTTTAATTATCCCTTTTTCTTTCAACAAGGAATCTTTCCTCTTTGGCATAGTATCACAGTCAGGAACAAGTAATAGACTAGATAATGAAATTTTAATTATGATCAAGCATTATATTTATAAGACCAGATGCTTTCAAAATACTCTATCAGTAAATTCCATAATTAATACCATAAAAGATCATTATTATGTTCAAAAATATAAAGCATGTTGCAAAGGGGATCATTTTGTTAAAAAACTAGAAAAGGAATGGAAAAAATGGAACACCCTCCTAGAATTATAGATTAAAAATTAGTAGAAGTTATTATCTTTGATTTATGGTAAACACAATACAAGCCCTCTGTCAGTTTCTTGATTTTTATTTCAAATTACCTTTGGTACTATATATATATATATATATATATATATTTGCAAATAGATGAGCTACAGTGCAAAATCAGGATTTATTTGTTAATATTGTTTTTTTTTTTCATCCTTTCCTGTTTTTCTTTCTCTGCCAGTCTCCTCTGTTTTTCTTCTTTTCCTGTTTCTCTTAATAAAGTAATATATGTGTATTTTTTTATCAATGTTGCAAGCTAGTGTACATGTGAGCTGTGTGATGTCTGAGTGAATATGATATGCTATGAATGTAATCAATACCATATATTGCTGAAAATTCTGAATAAAAAGAAAATTAAAAAAACAAAAAAAAAAAACAAAAAATAAAAGACATAGCAATGCTTTCAGTAAATAAGCAAACTTAGGTAAATGAGTTAAACTTTTCTGAGGCCAGAGGCTTATAGTAGATCAATGCATGTAACTTTTGCTACATTTGTACCATGTTTATTGTTCTCTATATGCTTTGACAATATGTGTTCTTTGCCCCCTTGACTTCTTATTATTATGATATCATATGTAACATGGCTAATACCACACACATTGCTTGCTACAGTACATAGCTAGGTGAAGCATGGCTTATATTCATTAACAAAATGAACAACACTGCTAAGATGTAGCTTGACATTCATCATCAGTCCAATAAAGACCTGAGGTGTTTATTTATACCCAGATAAAGGCCTGAGGTGTTTATTTATACCCTGATAAAGACCTGAGGTGTTTATTTATACCCAGATAAAGGCCTGAGGTGTTTATTTATACCCTGATAAAGACCTGAGGTGTTTATTTATACCCTGATAAAGGCCTGAGGTGTTTATTTATATTCTGAATAAGACCTGAGGTGTTTATTTATACCCAGATAAAGGCCTGAGGTGTTTATTTATACCCAGATAAAGGCCTGAGGTGTTTATTTATACCCTGATAAAGACCTGAGGTGTTTATTTATACCTAGATAAAGGCCTGAGGTGTTTATTTATACCCAGATAAAGGCCTGAGGTGTTTATTTATACCCAGATAAAGGCCTGAGGTGTTTATTTATACCCAGATAAAGGCCTGAGGTGTTTATTTATACCCAGATAAAGACCTGAGGTGTTTATTTATACCCTGATAAAGGCCTGAGGTGTTTATTTATACCCTGATAAAGACCTGAGGTGTTTATTTATACCCTGATAAAGGCCTGAGGTGTTTATTTATATTCTGAATAAGACCTGAGGTGTTTATTTATATTCTGAATAAGACCTGAGGTGTTTATTTATACCCAGATAAAGGCCTGAGGTGTTTATTTATACCCTGATAAAGGCCTGAGGTGTTTATTTATATTCTGAATAAGACCTGAGGTGTTTATTTATATTCTGAATAAGACCTGAGGTGTTTATTTATACCCAGATAAAGGCCTGAGGTGTTTATTTATATTCTGAATAAGACCTGAGGTGTTTATTTATACCCAGATAAAGGCCTGAGGTGTTAATTTATATTCTGAATAAGACCTGAGGTGTTTATTTATATTCTGAATAAGACCTGAGGTGTTTATTTATACCCTGATAAAGGCCTGAGGTGTTTATTTATATTCTGAATAAGACCTGAGGTGTTTATTTATATTCTGAATAAGACCTGAGGTGTTTATTTATACCCAGATAAAGGCCTGAGGTGTTTATTTATACCCTGATAAAGGCCTGAGGTGTTAATTTATATTCTGAATAAGACCTGAGGTGTTTATTTATATTCTGAATAAGACCTGAGGTGTTTATTTATACCCTGATAAAGGCCTGAGATGTTTATTTATATTCTGAATAAGACCTGAGGTGTTTATTTATATTCTGAATAAGACCTGAGATGTTTATTTATACCCTGATAAAGGCCTGAGGTGTTTATTTATACCCTGATAAAGGCCTGAGGTGTTTATCAATACCCTGATAAAGGCCTGAGGTGTTTATTTATACCCTGATAAAGGCCTGGGGTGTTTATTTATACCCTGATAAAGGTCTGAGGTGTTTATTTATACCCTGATAAAGGCCTGGGGTGTTTATTTATACCCTGATAAAGGCCTGAGGTGTTTATTTATACCCTGATAAAGACCTCAGGTGTTAACTTATATTCAGATAAAGACCTGAGGTGTTTATTTATACCCTGATAAAGGCCTGAGGTGTTTATTTATACCCTGATAAAGTCCTGGGGTGTTTATTTATACCCTGATAAAGGCCTGAGGTGTTTATTTATACCCTGATAAAGTCCTGGGGTGTTTATTTATACCCTGATAAAGGCCTGAGGTGTTTATTTATATTCTTAATAAGACCTGGGGTGTTTATTTATACCCAGATAAAGACCTGAGGTGTTTATTTATATTCTGAATAAGATCTGAGGTGTTTATTTATATTCTGAATAAGACCTGAGGTGTTTATTTATACCCAGATAAAGACCTGAGGTGTTTATTTATACCCTGATAAAGGCCTGAGGTGTTTATTTATATTCTAAATAAGACCTGAGGTGTTTATTTATACC